ACAAAGAATAATCCTGACTCATCACTGTAATTATTGTCTAGTAAAGTTAATCAAAGAACTTTTCAAACACACTTTGGTTTATATATCCCATGAGTTTTAGACACAGTAGTGCTGTCAAAGCCTCAAGGGAGCTGTAGTTGTTAAATGTTCTGTACATAGAAAGCATTTATGAATGTAGAAGATACACTCCGTTGCCAGTTTGTTAGACACACCTAGCTAATACAGCTCTGCAATAAATCCTGCCTTTGTGAAGGTTATAATGTATAATAAGGTTTTGAGAGGTGTAGGTAAGGAGGAGGATGTAGTTTATGGTGCTGCTGAACTTTTACGTTACACTGACAGCAGTTGTTTCTGACACACAACTCACAATTTCCAATTTTTGCATATGTAGTGGAATCTTGAGTGTAAACAGACTGATAATATTCACATCATTTTGCACTTCTCTTAAATTAGTTTGCAGTCTGGCTTAGCAAGCGGCTGTAGTGTCTCACTGTTACTTTCATGGCTGCTTTCAGAGACAACATCTTGTTTACTATATTCTGCATCTCTGAAAATAAGTCAATTTATAACAGCACATTAGATCCACTTATCCTGTATGAGAGTACCTCTCTCTGTTTTATACTCTCCTTTCAAACTCATCAGCTTTTGAATACTCTTTCCAAGAGAGAAGAAAATGAACATATTTAGGCGAGCTGGTGACATTTTTCTCCTCTCTGCTTCCTCTCTGGCAACACGTGTCTGAGACTTGCGGCAATATATGAGAGATGAAAGGGCCTGTATTAATAATAAATTATGAATGACTAAATTATACATGAAAAGGAAAATCTAGGAAGCTGGCACTTCCAGGTGCAGCTAGTAACATTACTTTAACTGTAACAACTGGCAGATGACAATTCACATAAGAGGATGAAATAAATGTGACTGCCAGGAAGTAACTCAGGCTAATGAAGTTAATGTTTGTGTGTGTGTGTGTGTGTGTGTGTGTGTGTGTGTGTGTGTGTGTACACATCAATAAATATTATTAGCACATTATTTGAATAGTAGTAATAGTCAAAATGTTTAATGGCTATTGGCAGAAATTAACTGTGAGTGTGAAGTCAAACACCAAACAGTATGATTGTTTCAATCATTTTAAAAATAGTAATTTTTATGAATTGACATTTCAATTAAAGCTGAGTGATCCCTGTGGATATGATGCCTTCTGCTGAATAATAAGCTTTCATGGTAACAGCTGTTTGACATGTAGCAGACAGCAAAAGCTAAGAAACTAAAAAGGTCAAACTCCACTGAGTCTGGTTTTGACATGTCTCTGTTTCCCTCCATCAGTCAAATCTAATTTGTAGCCAGCCTAATCATTACAACCAGGCACACTTGTTGCCTTTGCAGAAACCTGATAAATCTCAATTGAAAATGCGGCTACGTTGCATACACTTTATCCACATGTTAGAAAACTGCATTATTATTACCACAGGCACGAGACCAATATTCCTTTAGCTATTGTAAATTAAATGTTTGCAATCTCTATCATAATCATGCATTCATGAAATGCCAGAGACTGTGCATACACAATAGAAATTTCACAGTATACTATACTATACTATATGCCCATGTTTAACCCTCACAGTAAAAGCAATATCCACAAAACAAACTAGATGATTACAAAAGACTAGTAGCAGTCATCTTTATTGCCTTTGTATACATAGACTGTGCTTAAACACTAGAGTAGCTGGGTAGCTTAAACACTGCAAAAAGAATGCATTAATTTCATCTCAGATTCAACTAAACTTCATTTTATTAAAAGAAGAAAAAGATTCTTCCAATGCAGTGAGATAATTTCTAAGATTACTCCATCCATACTGGCTACATAAGCTTTAATAAACTGACCAAACAACAACCAACACACTACTAAAGCTTTCTGGGTGGCTCTTGCAATTTAGGATTCAGGAAGCTGCCAAAATACAACATTACAAAAATAAAATACCTCAGACACCGTACACATACAGGTACCATCACTTAAAATCTTGTCAGCCTGATTTTTTTTACCGTCTTGCACCTCATTTCTAAATCAAGCAAATTTGAAAGAAATTGCCGAAGCTTCAGGCAGCTGTGTATTTGAAAAGCCATCATTCCTCATGAAAGGGTTCAGTGGGGTTTTACAAGAACAGCAGTTCTCAGAAGAAGAGAATACATTTCATACATTGCACTAATCATCTCTCTCCACATGGTCCAACTGCACATTTTCTAATCACCCTTTGAGGCACGACGAGTGGAAGAGCTATTAAAATCCATTTACAATACAGTATCACAGCAGCGAGAGAGAAAGACAGCCAGACAGAGAAAAAGAAAAAGACCCCCGAAGGGTTCATTTATGGCATGAAGAAAACGGGTGTTTAAAGGACATTAAAAGTGATGTAGTTACACTGTTGAATTCAATGTGAAGGAGGTGTTAGAAATAATCAAATGCTGTTATGTTAAAGCTTTCTGATAAATATGGTTGTTGTTTAACTATTGATTTGACTAAGGTTTGTAATTAAGTTTCAGTGTCACAACATATTATTGCTGGCACACAGCCTCAACAAAGTAAAGTAACAGTAACAGAAAAAAATCCATGTGTTTGCCATTAAAGGTAGACAACACATGAGAATAACAGTACATTATAATATACATGTGTTCCTTACCATTGTATTTTAACCATAACAATCCTATCCAGGTATTCCATACTCTATTTACTGTGGTCTCTAAGATACCATAATAAGTCATAAGTACTGTCTTTCAAAATGTTCTTTTTATTCTGGATTTCCAATAAAGTTTAAAGGCAAGGCTGCATTACTGTGGGTGGATCTTAACTTCTAGCAGAGCAATCAATATGAGATAGCAAAGGGGTGTTTGTGTGTGTGAGAGTTTGTGTGTGTGTCAAAGAGAGACAGAGTGAGAGAGAGGACCTTGGCTATGCCCTTGTTGATGTAAGTAACATTGTAGCAGTCAAAGGGGTTGAAACCCAAACCATTCTCTGAGGTTCCCCAGCCAGCTTGTGACACCATGTCTCCTTTGTGTGTGTGTGAGTGTGTGTGTGTCTGTGTGTGCCTGTTTGTGTCTGTGTGTGCGAGTGAGTGACATCTGACAAGGTCTTTTAATATTTAATCATCGCTAATGGCTGCACAACTCTTTCGCTTTCTGTTTCTAATCATTTATCTTTAGGTCAAAATCCTATAAATAATACTCTACAGATCTATTCTTCTGTTTTGCTATTTTTTTTAAAGTTTTAGAACAGATGTTGGGGTATACCTTTTAACAGGCTGTCCCATAGAACTAACAGATACTTCAACAGAGTAAGCACTGCATAAGAAGTTCCATCCCTAATTTAACAGCTTGTTTATTGATAATATCATCCTGAACTGTCACCACAGTTAGCGAGCTACCTTAAGCCTGTAATCACAACTCTGCATTCAGTCTGAACACACCTGATGTAAACCCACATTTGAAACTCGAATACTAGGTTTCGTGAAGGATAAAAAAAAAAAAAACGAACTACACTTTCTTCTTGGACAGATTTACACAGCAGTCAGTAAGGGTGTGGTGGAATCGGTACAAGTAGAGACTCCTACTGAAACACAGAGAATGATGATTTATTAAATTACTGTCATGAAAATGGAGGAGATGCTGCCACAAAATGTGCTTTAGAGTCTGGGAGGCTTGATTTCCATCTGAATATTTTTTTTATAGTATAACTGACTTTGGCATTTATTGACTCATAATACTGTCCAAACCTCTTAGTTGTCAAATTAAATAAAAACAGTATGAATCAGGAGAGTGCCACGTCACATGTACAGAAATGACATTAGAAATAATAGCATTAATGTGATATTAAGTTACAAATGAGTTATAGCAGCATAGTAAAATGTATCTATATCTTTTGCATTAGAGGATGTAGTCATAAACTGAGCACAGATAAATATTTCATCTATTTCATGTGGTCAGAAAGATGGAAAAAAACACCTTCCTCCGTATCAAAGTGCATTTGCGGGAATAAGTAGGTTTTTCTTGCCCTGCCTGTGAGATACGAATGTAGCTTTGGGCCACACTGCAGACTTCAAAGGAAGGATATGCAGGGGGGAAATAAGCCAGCTGCACTGGCAGCATGAAATACTGAGGGGCATCTGGGCATGTGTTTCTTTATGTTTATTTTTGAGCCAGTGGGCACACGCAAATGTGTGTGCACACTTTGTCACAATTTGTCTATTTTATCATATGTGTGTGTGTACATTTGTGTGTACATACCCTACTGTCCAAACTCTAACATGACCCGCTTTACATCATTTTGAAGTCTTCACAAGAGTTTTGCTTGAGCAGCCCTCAGGATGAATTTTATATTTTAGCAGCGCTACTGGTAAAGCTCCATGAATATCGCAATCATCAGTATCTTGTTCATTTCTTCCAACACTTTCCTAAATTGTAAAGTGTAGCCTCTGGCACCAACAGGTTTTGGAATTGCTATGATTATGGAAACCTTGGGCTTGAAATCAAAATGTTCCAGCTGATCACATAGCGCTATAACATATAATCAAACCTTTAACATTTTGAAACAGCAGAATCAACTAAATATATAGGGCATCCTGGTGGCTTTGTGGCTAAAAAACTGCAACAACCTCCATCAAAGTATCCAATAAATATACGATAATAAGACAAAAATACCAACAATAAATAAATAAAAATCTATTGAAATTATGATACAATTCCGATCTACAAAAGTTTATGTCTGTATGACAGTTCCTGGTGAAGTCCAAACAGTGGGCAGGTACATATTTATTAAGTGAGAACATGTGTGTATTAGAGAAGGGAAAGGATATGCGCTATGTGACTGGTGTGTTCGTCCGTGTCCAGGATCAAATGTAATTTGTGTAAAGGAGCAAAGTGGATACATAAAATGCTGGATCTAAATAGGAGATCAAAGTAGATTTGCTGTCAGTTCGCTGTGGTTGTCTCCAGCTGTCTGAACTCACCTGGCTGCGGAGTACAGATGGATGTGAGCTACAGGGAGGGTGAGCCGTGGAGCTGGCTGGTGGTGTCTGCAAGCTGGAAGTGGTTTTATGCTGCATCCTGACACCATCACTGCAGTCAGCCAAGTCAAAGTTGCTCTTCCACACCATTACCTGTAAGGTGAACATAAATTGTCATATAAAAAGTCAAGAAAGTTGACAAAAAAAAGCATGAAATTTGTCTTTTTCTTTTACAGATCTTAATTAATCTTTATGAGCACTGTTTCATAAATTGTCAATACACCAATACACCCTTTGGTGTCAATAACAGTAGTATGAGGAGGTCACATGGTATGGACTTTTGACTACCAAGACACCAGCAAGTCAATCAGTAGGCTATATCTGGTTCAGTGTTTTAGAAGTCATCACCTGTTCATCAGAGCCTCCAGACGCAAAGTACTCTCCTGTCCTGGAGAAGGCCACACAGGTCACTGGACCCTGCGGTGAGGGGAAGAGAAAGAGAAAGCTTGAGACTGGAAGTGATAATACAGTGAGATCATCAGGAGCATCCTGAAACTCTTAGCAGCAAATCGCTCAAATTGAAAAAGAGAAGCAATGTAGTGTGTAATGGTGTGCTCCACAAATCAGTCGACAAATCCTTATGAACAAAAATATATAACAAGAATGGGGAGATCTATGCTGTGCAAATCTCATGAAGTGGGCTAAAATAAAACAAATAATAATCCACAGATAAATTAATCAGCAACTAATCTGTTAAACTGCATAATCTTTTTTCAAGCACAAACAACAAACATTAGGTACTCAGTTGTAAGCATTTGCTGCTTGTCTTTGTCTTATGTGATATTAAACGGAATATCTGGGGCTTTGGACTGTTGGTCAGAAAAAACAAGCAATTTGAAGAGATAACTTTGCGCATTAGAAAATTATGATGGGCATTTTTTTAAATCAATCTATAGATAAAATAAATAATATAAATCAGATTAGTCAATAATAAAAATTGTTGCAGCCTTTAAAAGAAATGGAGCAATCCCTGTTAAAATACTGCTGTCTATGTGTGATAGTCAGCTCATTCATTCATCACCCTGCACATAGTAACTTTGAATAATTAAATATCTTTCTCCTGCCAGGCAGTAGAGCTGCAGTGAACGTGTAGGTGTTAATGTTAATATGGGGGTATGTAAATATTACATAATTTAACAAAATACACTATAAAAATAAAACTACACAAACACAGTTGTTTCAAACGTTTTATGTAACATACAATGACAAGAAGAACTGGAGAGGATTAAGCCTTTTTTGTGTCAATAGTTCATAGTGTTTAGCTCTTCTTTAAACTATTTGAGGAAATAAAAGTATGCTAAGAAACAGAAACTCCTGCACGTGTGTGTGTGTGTGTGTGTGTGTGTGTGTGTTTATGTGTGTGGAGGAGGGGTGGGCGTGTAGGACTGTAGCAGAGCAATCAATAACAGAAAGCGGAGACTCAGGTGAGGTGAGGTCATACATGGTCAGAGCCAAAAAGGATCACCTGGGGATGTCGGGTCTTTGGCATGCCGTGTATGTGTGTTCCTCAAGCGCACAAAGAAAACTCAGAAAATCACTCTCTCCCTTGGTTTATTCTTTTCTCTACCTCACGGTGCAGAATGGGGTCAATGATTAAAGCCTGAGCCCTCTGACAGTGTTCAAAGAGTGGATGAAGGAGAGAATAAACAAAAGAAGGGAAAAGAAACGGACAGGGAGGCTGCTAAAGAAAAAAGGGAGCTGTGTGCTGTGGCTGGCACCCAGACAGGCTGGTTTGGGTGAGGAATGGTTTCCCAGAAGCACCTGAGAGAAGCAGACAGTGTCACTATGGCAACGCGACGGCCTGACAGACAGCATGTTCTGTCTCTGCTCTGACTAATGCCTGCTGCCAGGCTGGCACTTGCCATGGCCAGACACACACACACACACACACACACACACACACACACACACACACACACACACACACACACACACACACACACACACATACATTCAGAGTCTGACAGGGCAATGAACCTAACTGGCGCATTTTATGCACTGATAAACGAACAGGGGTTGTCACAAACCAGACAGGCCCCACATGGTGGGCTCCATAAAGTTATGACTAACAAAAACGATTACGTGCTTGTACTTGCTATAGTTTGTACACCGTTATTTCATTAAAATATATGTCGAGGAGGAGTTAAAAAACCTTTATTATGAATAGAACAAAGAGCTCTAGTATCAGATTCATACTCAGTATCAACTAATATTCTAAGTTTACATATCAGAATTGATATTACAGAATATATGAGATAAGTACATCTTAGTACATCAAAAATAAGCATTTTAGTTAAAAATTCTGCCCTTTCCTCCTCCTGTAAACACATTTATTACACAGAGAATATTAAGATTCCAATAACAAAACTAATAACATATGTTAGGATATTTACAGCACAATCTGCAGGTCTGCATTATCACCAGTAATATGTGTTGCAACAACACATCACCAACTCTGTGTGTGCTGACAAAGGCTAAAACACACTACATAGACAAATTCGGCAGTTGATTTATGTGTTGCACTACAAGCTCCGCCACCAATACTGTAAACAAATTTACACTGGAAGTGGAGGCACAGATGTTTGGGTTAATAATGGTCGCGATCGCCGAAGGTAATCTGCGTGAATGTGGAAGTTATTCAGCCTCAGAACAGTCTGATATTGTTTATGACACAGGTTTGGGGAAAAAATAAGAGTATGTACCACTTCTGTCTGACCTCCACAGGTTGAGTATGAAAGTGCAATGTGGAGCAGCTAATTAGCAGCAACAGGAGTTTGCAAGCTTATGATTAAAAAACCTCAAACTCCAGGATTTCTTGCATTGTAATCATAGGGAATCCAACATTTAATTTAATTACTTCTAAAATCAAATTTCGCCCACCCTATAACGAGTTTCAGGCAGGAGTGCATTTAACTATAGAAATACTCTAGCATCTTATCTCTTTAATGGGGTCTTAAAAGCTAAAAGGGTACTCATGTACTAAGTTGAAGTTTCTTCATAAAAAGTTTTGGATCACGTTGTGAAAGTCAGTTGTCAGACAGGAGGAGCAGAGAGACAAATCTACCTAAATTAGGCTGATTTAACCCAGCCAGGTAAGGTCCCCTGAGGCGAGGTAAACAACACGTTTGTCAGATCCAACAGACAAAACACTCCCTCAGAGCCCTCATGTGTTTTCACATACAGTACGCACATAGGTCTACACACATACACAAGAATAACACATGCAAGCAGACACATAAACACACATAAACCTATACACCCACACTGAACAGATGGGGGTCTCTCCCATCTCTAGCTATGCGACTGGAGAGACAATTAACACCCTGAGCGCTCCCAGCACCAACAGATTGGCAGAGTTACCACTGAGCCAAAAAGAACAACAACAGAAATGGAGACAGAGTGCAGGAGATGACAAATTTGGAGGTGTGAAGAAAGAAGGGGAAAAAGTGTTTTTTTTTCATCTTGATAAAGGGAAAGGTTTTGGCAAGCAGCTGAAGAAAAGCACAGGTGACACAGACAAAAAAGACAGGATGAGAGACAGGCAACGTGTACAGAGGGATAGATAAACAGATGGACCACATGTGGTACTGGCAAGCCACTGATTTCCACAACTAGCCAGCAAGCCAGTCCATCAGCTGTTCAAACAAACAGATACAGTCAGTGAGCTGTCCGGCCAACTAGTCCGGCCAACTAGTCCGGCCAGCCAAAATGTGAGTACATGAGAGGCAGGAGAAAGGGAAGAGGTTGGAGCAAATAGAGAAGGACGAGGAGGGAAATGAGGTCGATAATGATGGTGTCGATGCTAAAACATCCCCAGAACACACGGAGGGGAGTGTTAAAGTCAAAGAGAAAGGACGGGACGGAAACAGAGAGGAGGAGGAAGAGAAGAAGAGGATCCTGAGGAACGGAGGCAGAAACACAGTTCTGTTTCCTTCCAACAACCCTGAGATGACTCATCATGAGTGGGCTGCCCGCTCGCCTGGCAAGTACTAAAATACACCACATACAAAAAAAGGCATCATACGCACACACTTGCGCACATACACACTTCAGACAATCAAACATGCACAAAGGAGATGTCAAACACATTCACACAGACTACAGACATGACCTACCGTGACTGGATAAACTGCACAGTTTGGCCTGTGGGATATCTGAACTGTCTTCAGTGTGTGTGTGTGTGTGTGCGCGTGTGTGTGTGTCTACCTGGTGTCCGTGCAGTGTATACAGTAGCTTGCCCTCTACAAGGTCCAGTATCTTCATTGTGGAATCGCTGGATGCAGTGATGAGGAAATTACCAGCTGGGTGGAAAGACAAGCTGTTCACCACCCCACTGTGGACTGGAAAACACACACACACACACACACACACACACACACACACACACACACACACACACACACCACACACACACACACACACAGAACATCAAAAACCTAATTAAAGGTCAAAAATAATGTATTATAATTAATTATTGATACTCTCAAAATAATTTTCTTTTCTCTTTAAACTGGATGTCAGAGGAACAGGTCGGTTAAGAGTTCAGTGTCTTGCTCAAGGACACTTCAGCAGGGCAGATGCTCGCTAACATGGATATGCCTGGATCCCACTGAAGTGTACTGCTGCTGTCACAATGCCTCAGTTTCTGCGTAACCTGAGAATGGCTTAACATTAGGGTTACATTAGCACATAGCATTACAACAAGTTGATTAGCTGCTACTGTTTAAAAACCGGATCTGAAACTATTCTACCATGTAGTGACTGGGTCCTTGACTGAGACTAAATGAAGACAGCAGGCATTTGATGAGCGACATGTTCCCTCTGCTGGCTGCAAGATGCTATGACACATATAGATATAGTGATAAGTGAAGTGATATAGTGAAGAATGTATTCTCTTGTATGACTCAGGATACACAAAACACAAAACCAGTTGAATTAACCGCCCAAAAGCTACCGAAGATGACTAAAAGTCAACTTAACAAACTAACAATTACCAGTGATTGTCATGAGTAAACACACCATATTTTAAACTAAATATTACACAATGCGTGCACAATTGGTAATTTACTACAGTGGTGTGTGTGTGTGTGTGTGTGTGTGTGTGTGTGTGTTAAATAAGGCACAGTGGAGAAGAAGCAAGAGGAGAGGAAAAGCTTTTATCTTCATGCCCCATCTCTTCAGACAGATGTGATTATCCATTATTAGATCTCACAACTCAAATCTATTTAAGAGAGCTGATTAGAACAATCAGACTGACTGGCAGGCTTGGTTTATTCAATATGCAAGAACTCATAAATCTCAATTACCACTTTAATGCTGAACTTTAAAGCTTTAAAGGTGTTATTTCAGTAATCTGTTGTCAGCCTCAGCTATATCTTTCACTGTGTTTAAAGGTGAAGCTTTACTTAAGCTGCATTGCAGTGTTTGGTGGAAGTGGATGACAAGACTTTGAGTGTTTGCATCTTTGTTGCACTTGTTTTTAGTTGTACGTCTATTTCTATCTTCTGTATGTAAGTACAGTGAGAGCATCTTAAAACCAGGGTCAAATGCCGTGTGCACGTTCACATAAATACTTCCTTTAAACAGTTTTTGAGGTTTTCTTTACCTTGATAGTGCTGTAGCATCTTATGGGATCTGATGTCCCATACTTTGACAGAGTTGTCAGTACTGGAGGCAGCGATACATGTCCCACTGGGATGGAAGTCCACATGGTTTGCATAACTTGGGAGACAGAAAACATGATATTTAATGTAATATGGTCTTTGGTCAGGCTTCAGGTCTATTTTTTACACAATTCATTTTAAAATCAAAAACACATTCATTAGTTTTTAATTGTTGCTGCTGAAACATCAGTGTAAATGTTTTTTCTATATATGTATGTATACACAAAGTACATAGTTATCTAAATCCTCAACATATCAGAAGAAACATTAACAAGAAATGTTTCTCACTGTAATTATTTCTCCCACACATACAAACACATCAGAAATTTGTATCCACATTTTTCCCATACTTTTCCCCTTGCCTTAAGTGCTCACCCAGCATGTTCATAGAAAGAATGAATACAGTCTCTGCTATTCTTGTCCCACAGCTTTATGGTCTTATCATCACTGGAGGACACAATCAAACGATCATCTGGAGAAAACCTGCAAGAAATGTATTGGAAATTCTAGATCAAAAACTGGCCATAATATAATTTGTACAGTTGTAAAACAAGTCAGAAATGTCTAGATGTTTTTTGTAATTAAGTGTGTGTGCATATCATACTTGGCACAGCGGACCCAGTTGATGTGCTGGTTGAGAGAGAAGAGGAACTTTTGCCTGTGGACAGTCCACACTTTGATGGTCTTGTCGTCAGAGGCTGTGACCAGAGTTTGTCCGTCACTGGAGAAGTTAACGCTGCGCACGGTGGCAGTGTGAGCCCTGAACGCTGTTGACTCAGCCTTCCTGTACACACACACACACACACACACACACACACACACACACACACAAACTTTTAAAACAAACTACCAAAAGCCAGTGGGTGTTCACAAATGTGTGCCTTCTTCTGTGCTGACAGAAGCAGGAGATTTTTTTTGTGAGTCAGCATCACTGTCCTTTGTGGCAGCTTTCTAGTGGAATAAAATAATAGTGAGTGACAATAGAGATGAACCACTACAAAACTCACATGCTGGGCACCCAAAGACGTACAGTCTTGTCTCTGGAGGCGGAGGCCACCAGGTGGCCAGAGGGAGAAAACTGAACAAAAGTGACAGCATCTTTGTGTCCATCAAAACGATAAGCTCGCATCTGAGGTTTCATGTTCCAAATCATCACACAGGAGTCCATTGAGCCTGTGGCTGGGAGAGGATAGAGCACAGGTGAGTTAACTGAACACCGTATGTATGAGTGCAGAGAACATACCACACAGAAAATTAAAATAAAAAGACAACAGCAAACAGGTGCAGCAAATGATCTGGCCACAGACAGACGAACACGAGACACAGAATAAAACTAAAGTAGCAGTTACCGATCTGTTTCATGTTGGAGCTGAAGTCCACACCTGTCACAGCATCCCTGTGACCCTTGAAATGTCTCTCTAGAGTCGGATCAGACTAAATGGAGAAAGAAACAGCCATATTAAAGCCTGTGAAAACTTGCTTTGAATTTTAAGTATCTCTCAATAATGGTAAATAGTCATGACTTAATAAGCAACAATAAAAGTTCAAAGTTGAAAAAAAAAAAATCATCACAGGCAGTTAAACACCAACGAAATAGCTAATCTGCATCATCAGGACTGTGTGGGTGTGCGATATTATTGACAGTGGTCTGGCAACACAAGCAATCAACCCCATAATTACGTAGCTAAAAGGCTGATGACATACTCTGCACTGAGTTAAGTGTTTATACAGTACTGCACTCTGTTTTCAGTACAGCTTGTAGGCAAGTCAGGCCTGTAAAATACTGACAATCTTCATGCCATTGAGAATCTAGCTGTATACATTATGAAGACAGAAGTATTAGAACACCGTATGCGTTTACCTAAACACAGGCTTTTTATTACTGAAGACATATTGATATGCCACAGTAGGAAAAGCTGACGTGTTAATAATAAAATGAACAATGGCTGAATTCTATTTAGCTGCTTCAGTTTTAGGATCCAGGTGTTGTGCATGCTGGTTCACTGTCATGGCTTACTGGACTTACTAAACATACACTAAATAATATGGATATGTTTTGATCACATTAGTTCATTTTCTACTACAAAAAGAATACTGGTTGGAGTTGGAAAGCACTACATCCGTGTGGTGGCGCTGTGTCACAGTGTACTTTAAACCTACTTTTTGTTTAAATCCAGACAAACCAACAACTTAACAACTTAATTCAGTCTTCTTCACTGGTTGATTATAAGAGATTAACATGTAGTATGTATTTTGTCTCCTGTCCACAAATGTTTTTTTATAAACAATGCCAGATATAGTCCTGCACAGTTCTCACAAAACATCTCGACCAATCAAATTTCCTATTTTTCCAAGCATTGTGTTGGAAAACCCCCCAAAAAATGTGTGTGTGTGTGTGTGTGGGGGTGTGTGTGTGTGTGTGTTTAAAGGCATTTAAATAGTAAATTAAATTGTCTATTTTCTGATTTACACTGGTGCCGGTAATGAACCAATAAGCTTTATACCAACCAGTGTAAAACAAACAGAAGAAGAAGAAGACTGCACTACCTCATGGAAAGTACATAATCGATTCATTAATTATTTAAAAATGACAAAAATAATAGAGAGAATTTAGTATTTTTAGTTTGTTTGTTTGTTTGTTTTGCCACCGCACCACACTCCAGTCCAGCAGGTGGCGCTAATGCACCTACAAGCTGGTCTGCCAACCGCCATTAACACCCGAAGAACAAGAAGAAGGAAGAACCAGCAGAAGAAGAAGACTGCGTTACCAAGGAGACGTGAGCTGTGGCGCTACTGACTGCTAGCCGTTGAACTACCGTTGGCCGTTGAACTACCGTTGGCCGTTGAACTCGGAGGAAGAGTAGAGAGGACTTTCGGCGCCGCATGTTTTTTTTTTTTTTGTGTGTGTAAGGAGACATTTGTGACATGGCAGAACTGCACATTATAGGCCAGATCGTCGGCGGAACTGGTTTCCCGCAAAACAGCCTGTTTTGCAAATGGGGAGTTCATGCGGGAGGAGCATGGCGTCTCCTGGCCGGGCTGAAGGAGGGTCAGACCCAGGTGGATATCCCCCAAACAGGAGACATGGCGTACTGGAGCCACCCGATTGATCTCCACTACGCCACCAAGGGAGTGCAAGGCTGGCCGAAGCTTCACCTCCAGGTGTGGCACCAGGACTCCTTCGGCCGCTGCCAGTTGTACGGTTACGGATACTGCCATATCCCCTCCAGCCCCGGACATCACCGGATAAGCTGTGTGACCTGGAGGCCGATCGGGTCCTGGCAGGAGCAGCTGGCGCAAATGTTTGTCGGCGGAGGTCCTCAGCTCCGCAGCCCGGAGCTTGTGTACAGCGGGGCGGACAGATACAGACTGCACACCGAAGCCATGGGGACTGTGGAGCTGGAGCTTGGCATCATTATGAGACACTTTGACAAATATGGCGTGGAGAGTTAACGGAGTGAAACTGAAAGGACTTTATGAATTTATATATTGTGCAGACTTGTTTTTAGTACAGTTTTGTACTTTTTTGTTCTAAATTGTGTTTTTTTTATACATTAATATTAGGTGATAATATTAAATAATAAAGAAACTTGTCTTAACGAAGTTGGTTTCTTGTTGGTGTCACTTTCCATAGCAAATATGATCAGACATTATAATGAAGTACTGTAGAGCTGTAGGGCCTACAAATGTTGTGAACATCTGTCAGAAAACATTTTTGGTTTGTTTGTTTGGTATAGACCCCAACAAATGTCACATCATTACAATTTCATTTTTTTTTTTTCCAGTGAATCTGATACAAAAATGATCATTCCCACTGATTGTGAATCATATCGTCATATTTTACTTGATTTTTTATTAGGGTTGCACAATTAATTAAAATATTTTCAAAAATGCAAACTGCAGAAGCTGCAATTTAAAACACAAAAGGTCCTATATGTGAAAAAACAGTATAATGAACTACTGTAGTTCTGAACTTTAATTCTCCACATTTAAGAAAACAAAAAAAAAAATTCCACATCATCATGATTTTAATACTTTTTTCAGTGAAAATGTATCATTGAATCATTCCCACACTAACCCCAAATCATATCACAATTTCAATATTTGTCAAAACAATCGCAATATCTTTACCATATTGTGCAAAGTTGGTGCAGCAACAGGTTACTGAGTATTTTTCCCAAACTAAATTAGGTTAATTATTTTTTTTTTTACCTCAACACATTAGCATATGATGAATAAATATGAGATAAGTTGTGGCCAGCTATAGAGGTTGAAGCCAAACATGAATCAGGGTGTTATAAAAACAAAAAACTGCACAACAGTTGTTTAGTTGATCCAAAACCTGGTAACAAACTGATTCAAGCTGCTGTATGTAGCTAACAAGTTCTACAAAGCTCATCTACAAGGCCCACAGGATTTGAAGCTATGTGATTACGTAGTTATTAGTGCAATCCTCTTAATTTACTTCTCTCTCAGAGTTTGATACACACAGACTTCTGTCTCTTTTTAATCGTTAGTCCAGATTGTTATCAAATTATTTCCCAAGCATGTGTACTGACAGCACAGCAGAAATAGATTCATGTGCATACAGGAATTGGAAATGCTCCATTGTGCTGTCGTTGTCTAGGGCAGAAAATAACTGAATATGTCGACTAACACTTATCTATTTAGCACCATTTTAATCATTTCATTCTATCCAACATCCCAAACATGATTGACATGAGTTTGCCTGCCACAAAAGCAAAAATGCTGCAATTTTGAAGGGCTAATAATATATAAAATCTGTAACTACAACTTAAATATGACACCTAAGCAGCATATACACAAAACAGTATGAACTCACAGTAGCACAATGTACTGTGGTGGTGAGACAACCTTACTTTTACTTTTAAATGATTCAACATACAGAATTTCATGACTAAGTGCTATGTTTATTACACAAAAGCACAGCAGACAGAATAATAATTAACTTTAACATTGTCTGACACAGCTAAGTGCAAAAAAACCCCACAAAAATGAAGACTTTTTCATTCCTGTCACAGTCGGTTAAGGCTGAGGTTTTAGTTGAAGCTTTGAAATGGGTTGTGCTGTAGACTTGTAACCAGGGTTGGGAGGGTTACTTTAAAAATGTAATCCAATACAAATACTAATTACCTGTTAAAATATGTTGTCAGTAACCTAATCCCAGTATCACAATATTAAAGTAACGTAACTCGATGATTCCTTTACTTTACTTTTGAATTACCATAACATCAAATGTGTAAATACAAGTCATGTACAGAAGTATTGATGCATGTAATATAAGACAACAGAACAATGTAATCTTTGAAAAGAAGAAAACAGAAAGCCTCAACACTGTGTCCTCTGCTCAGTGTATTTTAACTAAAACTAATGTATTTTAATGTTAGTGTAAAGCTGCTAAATCATCCCCATTTTTACTAAATGTAACTGTAATCTGATCTTTTTTTTTCTGTAACTAATGGATTACAGTTATTATCCTGATTTCTTAAATTAACTGTAACATATAATCATTTACTTCCCTGCTTGTAAAGTACTTACTGTAGAAAAGATATTTCCTGAAATACACTTTCATTCATTTATAACCACAGACATATAGTTAAAATCCAGATTACCTCCTGTAACTGAGAAAGCCTGAAATACAACCATTACCAATTCACTTTATGATAACGCACTGGGTAAATCATGTGCACATAAAACCAATTCTCTAATTCCCACTTTCTACTTTTACTTTAATAGCGAACGTAAACCACAAACAGGAAACGTACTTCAAGCCCACAGAGGGCTCCCGGTAACAAGTGTCACACAGTTAACGTTAACGTACACTCACCATTGCAGCAGTCATCTTTCCTGATACCGGAGCCGTTGATAGCGACCGTTACGACCGTTACAACCGTTACAACCGTTACCGTCCAAACGCAAAACGGTACTCGTACGGTTAGCTCACCGGCTAACGCTAGCGTACGAGCGAGCTAACCGATAGTTGCTGACAACAACAAAGTTCAGTTTACGCGCCGCGATTGGGCGCTGAGCATCTGGTCGGATCTCTTAAAGGGAGAGCTGCACCGTTAATAACGTTTGTGAGTATAAACCGCCATGACACAGGGATTGTATTATATGTTGAGTATGTTAAATTAAATTCTATACGGTCGAACCATCGAGAGTGAAATGATTTATGTGATATTAATCCTGCTAACGTTAGATGTTCAAGTGAATGTTTTTATTTTAAAGTGTAATGACGCACTATTACCGCCAGGTGTCAGCAGTGTAGCACCGATATAATTATTTAACATGAAGTGGTTGAGTCACTGGATTGTATCGAGGAAGTGGGGAAAAAAAAACTGACTTGCACTTAATCCTTGAAAAATATTTACTTTATAAACCTTATCATGATTTAAACAGGAGTAATCGATTACGTTTAAAGAAAATGTGGTGCTGGGTTTTGCTTTTCAAAATAAGTGCATTTCTACTCAAGGACTACTTAGCACAAATTTGAGTTAATTATATTTCTATTTTATGTTACTTGGTACATGGTAAATGGACTGTACTTCATACTTACACTGCACTAAATTAATAGGGAAATACTGTACTTTTAAAAACCCAAATAGGCCTACATTCGCCTGACAGATGTTACTAGTTCTTTACAACATATGATGGTTATAACAATGCTGGTTATGTGTTCTGGCATCAATAATAACAATCCAGTAATGTAAGGTTGACAGAAGTCCATATTTGCTGGTGGGTGATTTCCTAAAACTTAAATTTAGGACTGTGCAGTATAACGGTGAAAAAGTGAAAGAATAAAGGTCTTAAAACTAAATTTGACACACGTTCCCTCCTCAAGACAGGGCTTCAGGATCAGGTAATAAAGCAGGACCCAATTTAAGGCCCTATATTAATGTCAGTTGATTTTGCGTTTTAGTGGTGCATACCCAAATTTTCACTAGTCCACTACAAACCAGTTTAATCACTTTAAAGCCAGGAGCTTTCAGACCTCGAGACATTTGTCAGCTTTCCCTGGTTGGTAATCCAGCCTTGTGTTTCACCCAAGATGTGCAGCAAATGTGCAGCAGTCATAACCACAGTAAACACAAAGGTTACCTCACTGAATTAAGGTTACATAAGCCTATGTTTACATGAAATGTAATATTGTTTGTTTTATAAGATATGGTCTGACATACTGTCAGTAAGAGAAGTCTAAAAATACAATTTATTCAGGATACAATAAGCACACCGTATGCATGGTTACAAAAATGTAAAATAAGGGGAAAGATTAAATAAAAGCTTCTTAAAAATACTGTTCAGGTCGGTATTTCAAGGGCTATTCACCCAAGGAAAAGCACATTGTGTTATAAGTGCCCACACAAACCCCATTCTTTAACCAAATCCTCTGTAGGCCCTGAATGGTTGCTGTGTCACATAGCAATAACAATTCATACCTACAAATACTCCTCATAATATCCCCTCTTTAACCCATATTTGTTAGAGTATGACTGGCTGTAATTATGTTGTTTTCATATTATTTTCACACCATGTAATCATGTTTCTCTTTTAGGACGTGTTCACAAAAACAGGCTGCCCTTTACATCGTAACCAGAGCCAGTTAAAGGTAAGAAAATACTCAAAGGCATTAACAAAACCTACTAAACCTGTTCAGATATGGGTTTTGATAAGGCTTTTGTCTCCTTTCCTTTTTAATGGTATTTACTTCCTTCAACTCCTTTTTTACGAACTTTGTGATTCAATTCTCACATTACCTGTCTGTTGCACCCTGAATGTGTTCATTCCACAAGGTGCAACCCACAAACATACGATTATTTGATGGGAACAGTTTATACCTAAAAACAGTGTTTATATTAGTATACACTTGTTTCCAGTAGACAAAGAATAGAATGAATGAAGGAAGGAGGAAGAGAAACAGTCCTATGAACTGGAATCACAACCAATGATTCATAGTCAGTAGCTGTTAAAGGGCTGTAATTGACACACCTCGGTATTTTACACACACTTCAGCAGCACTGAATCCAATAGCCACTGTGCTTATTGTTGTAAGGGAAATAGGATCAACTTCAATCAAATCAATATCAGGGCTTGGTCCATGGGTCCACAGAAAAACTGTTTCCTTGTCAGTAAGAGAGGATGTTTTTATAGTTATTTTCTTTATCTGGAGTCTTTTAGTAATTTATGACTGCTATTTAAACCTACAAAGGGCTTTAATCTTATCTCCCTTGCAGTCATCTTTCCCCAGGATCCATGAGCTCATTTGTCATCGTATAGTTATTTGGTTTGTCATAGTTCATTAAGAATACTCATATTGCATATTTTGCTGTCTTATCAACATCAGTGATATGTATGCATGTCCAGTAGAGAATAAGTCATGCAATGTTAAGTTAAGCCCAATGACTGGAAGCAGGGGCAAAAGGCTAGCTTATCTTTAGCAAAGTGCCTATTTCAACAACTCCTATGCTGTCAATTTATACATTGAAAAGAAAATGATTTTATTATGGTTTAATGAACAGTTAGACAAACAGATTGGAGTTGGACTAATCTGGATCAAGCAGGCTCTCAGAGGTCTTGTCCCTACATAGTGAAGTTTATTATCTTTGCTCATTTTGAGCTGAAAATGTAGCTGGATGTCCTGTTAACTAGTTTGCTACCTTACAAGATACAATATAAAAAGATAGTTGGAGTTGCTGAAGGCGTTTTACTTTTTATTTTGACTGTGGTTTGTTGTTTCCACATGCTTCCTGTCTTGCTAAACTAGGCTTAACTGAGCTACAGTGTCTTTGTATTGAAAGTTTATTTTCTTTTTTGAACTTTATTTATTTTTTGTACCTTTTTACTGTGGCTAGCTAGATAGATATAAATAAAATGTCTCAGTAGGACGACAGTAGAATGTCAGAGCCTTCCTTTAACAGTCTTGCTGCTTGTTTACAGACTTATTGATTATGTCTTCATTTTATTTATTTTTACTGCATGCATGCAGGACATATATTATAAAACACTAACAATACACTGATTAACCACACAACAACAAATAACTTATAGAGGGTAGGGGGTCAGGAGAGACATACAGTACAGTACCACACAGATATGGATAATTATCTGTTTTGGTGATACCAAAACATATCAAAATGTATCTAAGATACTGTCACAGATACAATGGTCTTTAGTTTAAAGTGACTCAACGGTATCTATGGCAATTTAATAAATATTCCTGGAAATGATGGAAACTAATCTACATCGTTGGCAGAAATTATATATAGCAGTAGATGAATTGAATCATTTAAAAAATACTACCATTATGATCTTATATATTATATTTAATGGTTTAGAAAGGGATTGCACAACAACAAATTATTTCACTTTGAAGTAATTAGTGTGAAACCATGTTTCAAGAGTCTCTTGCTTTTTACCATTTCTGAACAATACATTATTTAGAAAGCAATTTGGTGTCTTTTGGAAGCAAGCAACAGGTCCATCGTGTTATTATGTGACTTACAATACATTTTCACATAATGAGAGAAACAGTCCACAACTTCCTTCTTCCTCAGCTTTTTAAAGACACACCTTTGCCCTGTCAACTCATTTAGAGCCAAATAGTTTTGCTCCATTGTTCCACTGCTTAAGTGTCATGCAAGGCTACAATCACAACAATGCTACACTAGTTGTGGTTTTTCTTAGAGACAAAAGTGTAACAACAACAATGTAACTCACGAACGAGGAAAAGCAAAGACTTATACATCCACTGAACTGTTTCTGATTGTGTAAGGATCTGCATCATTGCACTGTTGTCTGTTACACTGTTGTTTGCTTTAAAGGTTGACCAATACAAAAGAATAGGCATTTCTAGACAACATATAGGTGAATGTTTCCTACAGACACACAAAGAATTACATAATATTGGCTCAATGCATGACCTTTGAAGATCTTCTCTCTACCTGTGGTCAAAAACACAGTTCTTATTGATAAAGTTTGGTGACACTTTCTTGATGTTTAATGGCAATACACAAAAGAGAGCTTTTCCTCTGAAAGCTGTGTGTAAAAGTTGTATTTATTTAGATGTATACTGTGAAACGTACTTGTACTGACGAAAGGCAATAAAGCCAATAAGGTTGACATGATTTTACACACAGCAAATGTAATATTTTCATTGTACATGTTCATGAAAGTGTCACCACTCTGAAAGGAGCCTCGTGTGTTGCTTTGTAGTAACAGCCAATAGTGTCAGAGGAGAGTAGCAATCAAAGTTTTATAGTTTTATATATGTTTTGTTTAACAGGACAATACCCAAACATCAAAGCACCTTTCAATGTTGCACCAGTGATTAATGTGAGTGCTGCATTGTTTAACTATTCAATTCATTACTACACTTGTTCAGATATTAGTTCAGATAAGGCTTTTGTTACACCATACGTCCTCGGGAATTCACAGTTCAAATATTAACAAGGCTTATTAACTTTACAAAACAAAAAACTGTATAAACCCCCTGGCTTGTATGCACATTTTGTAATTTTAAAATCAACAGTGAATAAAAGAAATTGGAAATCTGACAGGAGAACCCATGGTGCTAAAGTGCATAAGAGTCATCCTGTTTTTGGACTATAAACAATATACCAAGCATCCATTAAATAAGATTTTTTCCTACAAAACATATAAGCTGCAGATATTCAACATGTATTTATTTTTGTTCTGTGCTATTTGAGGTCAAGTTATTTTCTTTTGAGTTAAATTTTGGCTTCAGCAGTGTATCATTACCACATAATAAAAGTATTGACCAATACTGACCACAGATATACTGTATGACGCAAATCATTTGGAGTAGAAAGTCTTTACTGTACAGCTGCTCTGTACTCATCCTGCTGCAGCTGGAAAGAACCTACTCTCGTCTTGAGATTGATCATGAGCGTTATGATTTCCATGAAGGAATGGAGGAAAAACCCTTGTTGAACTTCCACCTGACATTCTTGGTTTTGTGCTTGAACATGTGATAGTGCAACTCTCATCAAGATGACTGTACACAGATACAGCCCTACTCTAATATTTTTTTAAAACTTTTAAATAAATGGAAAATCTTTATAAAATTCAAAAATCATTATTACCCTCCTTTGTGAGGGTAAAGGTTCAGTGTCTCTTTGCCTGATACCCTTTTACCTGCATGGCTTAGAAACAAGTTGACAGCATGGAGAAGCACAACCAGTCATAAGAACAAAGTCATGATGCTACTACAATACTATGATAGCTTCCCATAATGTAATTAAAGTACTCACATAGAGCACTGTGTATCCTACCACACAAGTTTACACCACAGTGCATTATAACAAGACTTCTGAAGAGCAAATTGTATTATTACTATTTTTATTATGGTGTTAGTATTGCGTGACAGATTTGTTTATTGAAACTTGACGTTATCAACAGCTTATCAGCTTTGTGGGGGGAAAAAGTAAGAATGGTGTGTTGCTTGGCTTGCGAGGAGGAAAAGGAAGACTCTGCCACTGAGGCTGTTATCCTTTTATCAGCCTTTGTTGTCACGCACACACACACACTCATACAGTATACTGCAAACGCAACAATGCTTTCTCTGTCTCTCTCACTGAACAGCCGCTCTTGGTTTACTGGTGCTTTGAATTGTGGGGTTGAAATGCCTCTACTTTAAAAGTCAGGTTTGATAGTTGGCAAGCAATGAACAGTTTTATGATTTTTTTTCCTAGAACTCCAAATTCCTTTGACTTATTGTGTTTTTTAGGATTGGAACTTGTTTAGGTAATTGGTATGTTCACCAGAAGAGACTGGAAATGAACAGGGAAGTTTGACAAAGGACTAAGTACCGTAAAGATTCCGGTAATCTTCCAGTACATCGGCCTCTGTGACAAGAAGAGTGCATGTTACCTTTACACATACTTGTTCCTGGTATGGCTTCAGGGAGGAGTGTGCAAAGTCTGATTCAGGTTTTTCTAGAGAGAAGGTTGCGGCAACAGTTGTTCAAACAATTATAAAAAAATACAGATTTTTACAAGAATACTACAACTAATATTGCTATAAGAAAAATAACTGGAAGGTCATTTTTACAGAAAGTCAGTGTAGTAAACATGTATTTCTTCCACCTACCTATTAAACTTTTAATGATAATAATAGTAATAATAATAATAATAATATTAATGATGATGCTTTTGAATTGTGAATTGAATTGCGCTGTTTGGCTCTAATCTGTAACATAACCTTGTAGGTCTTTCTAACCAAGGACAGGGAGACATAAAAGGCCATGAGGGGAGAGGAATGTCCAGCTGGTGAGCCTGGACACTGCCCAGTCATGTCTATGTCGAGAGTGTACAAAGGCCATCGGAACCAAAAAAACTCGCACTTGCAGACATGAAACTGTCAAAATAATGGTAATGCTTTATTTTATGGGCCTGTGATTCCTCAATAATATATTTAACTATTGATAATTCCCACAAAGTCTCCCGGGAAGAGCTACCATTTGCTGATTACAGGGAAAATAGAAATAGTGTCCAACTGGTGGTTTAGTAGGTTTAATTAATATTTACTTTGGTTAAAATTAAGCATTTCTTATAGCATTACCATTTTTTTTTTCTTGACAAATAAGTACCCTAAAGACAGCTGCTGCAGGCTCATGACATAATGGCAGCCATCACTTAAACTGGAGGATTTGGAGTGTGTGTGAGGCAGATAATTGTCCCTCATTATTCCCAACAATCAAGCATGGGTGGGGATTGTTTCATTCCTGTCAGGTGTCATGAAAATGTATGTTGCGCCCAATAAAATTACTTAGTAGTATTTCCTTAAAAAGTGAGCAAACAAAGCAAAGATTAGATTAGATAAAGAATGAGTGACAATTACAGCCGCAAAAGGCGTATTTCTAAAAACATGTATGTACCTGATGAATGTTGTCCTTGATGGAGTTTTGCAATGTCGTCACTCACTGAAATGTTAAACTTCCAAGAGAGAGTCACAAGGAATTAACATTGCAGTACGCCCACTCGCTGTACCTGCGTCAAAACTTGGAGGAATTTCCACAGAAAGATAGTGAGCTTGTGTTACTTTAAATGAGACAGGATGTTTTAATCATGGATCATTTTTTGTCATTCTCCACTGCTGGGTTGCAAAAACAGAACTGACAGAAGTAATTATGTAATAGCTAGTGCAACCACGCATTTGTTCTTAAAGGTCATTGTCAGTACATTTATACAGGGAGTGTTTGCTGCTGTTTTATTTGTGATTTGTTTTATTGATTATTTGGTGCTGCTTTGTACTGTATACAGGTATTGAGTTATAAATAAATTGGGATTGGATGGGCATCTCTCATGGAGCCTACTTTATCCATTCCCATTGTGTAAATTTCCTTGAGTTAGTGCACATCCCTTTCACTTGTCTGATGAACATTTATGTGACCCTTTCTTGGCATGTACTTCCTTTGTAAAATGACTTTGTGGGTGTTTTCTGATGAAATGTTTTCTGATGTAAATCTATGGAAGTTATGGTAGTTGTTACTTCCACTTATATCTGCCACAGTCAGTTTTCATTATTCTTTTAATCCCTGATTAAGTAAACTATGTACAATATCACTGTAAACTAAATGCTAATGTAAAACTGTGTATTTATTTACATACTATATTTTTATTATTATTGCATCATTATTATTTTATAATTTAATAAAATATTCACAAACTGACTACAGGGACATTATAGATTTGAGGTAACAAAAAAGTCAAAACAAACAAACAAACAAACAATTTAAATATTTACAAGTGTAAACTAACTATTTACATAGGTTAAGCTGTAGGAACACCTCAGTCCAGAGATCTGGAGAAAAAGTGAAAGAGAAACTCAAATGTGCCACATGACTACCTGCGCATGGCACAGGAGGAGAGGGAGAGACCCACTAAGCAGAATGCGTGTGAATGAATTACAATTAAATTTATCTGAGATGTCTTTTCCCTCATGGACTGAATAAATCGCTAAAATTGGTTCTTTTTAGAAATAAAGTTGCTAAGAAGGTAGCTAAATCTAGCGACCATTTGTAATGATACATTTCCTCGCTGTATCTAAGTGTCTCAGGTGCATCGTCCCCGGTATGATGGGACCTCCTTAATTTTGAGCACTGTTATAGATACAAAATCAGACTGAATGGGCCTCCGTAGTCTTTCATGTATTTTACAACTCATAAAATGGCAGGTCATCATATTGATCTTACGCTCAATCGGTGTACAATACTGAGTATTTTGAAGTATAAATGGAGTTGGTTCTGTGAATACAATGTGATAGAAAAGTCCTTGAGAGAACTTAATGCAATATACACTACAATAACTGCTGCACAGAGATTACCTTCTATCAAAGAATACACGTCATACCCCTTCAGACCCTGTGTCCATTACAATGGACGTCACTTGACAGGGGCTTCTTTTTTACTTTTTGCAACATTTAACAGACAAAAAAAAGGTATGATGTTGTCATATGATGTTGGTATTTTAAGAATTGTTTGGACCCGATGTCCATTGAAATGGACAAGAAAAATAACAATTAAAGGGTTTTGATTAAAAACATTTTTTTTATTGATTCTCATTTCTGGTTGCATTAAGGATGGGAAAAAGTCATTATTATATTTTTCACAACCTTGGAACATAAGGCGGGTCTGAAGGGGTTAAGACATCTTTCTACATGCGTATGACTGCAGGTGATTCATGCAGACACATGCACCCTTCACTTTTTCAACTAGCTTATTTCTCACTTATGTAATGTATATTTATGTGACCGTTACTTGGCATGTACTTCCACGGTAAAATGACTTTGTGGGTGTTTTCTGATGAAATGTTTGTTCCAAAGAAGGAAATGTTGGCTTGTCATCTTATCATTAGTAATATGTCTGTTTTGATTGTGCTACGATGGAAAGAGTAAATGTGATTAATATTGCCACGGGGTCGACATAACAAACATGTGAACATATTTTTATTTATACTATTTATGATAACTTTGATTCAGTCACTGGCAACATTTCATTGACTCGCTCTGGTCCACCATGGAAGTTATGGTAGTTGTTACTTCCACTTATATCTGAAATAAAAAAATTGGCCACAATCAGTTTTCATTATTCTTTCAATCCCTGATTAAGTAAACTATGTACAATATCACTGTAAACTAAATGCTAATGTGAAACTGTGTATTTATTTACATATTTTTATTATTATTGCATCATTATTATTTTATAATTTAATAAAATATTTACAAACCGACTACAGGGTCATTATAGATTTGAAGTAACAAAAAAGTAAAAAAAAAAAAAAAAATTTAAATATTTACAAGTTTAAACTAACTATTTACATAGGATAAGCTGTAGGAACACCTCAGTCCAGAGATCTGGAGAAAAAGTGAGAGAGAACTCAAATGTGCCCCACGCGAACACATGACTGCCTGCGCATGGCACAGGAGGAGAGGTGTGAGAGTGTCTCAGGTGCATCGTCCCCGGTATGATGGGACCTCCTTAATTTTGAGCACCGTTATAGATACAAAATCAGACTGAATGGGCCTCCGTAGTCTTTCATGTATTTTACAACTCATAAAATGGCAGGTCATCATATTGATCTTACGCTCAATCGGTGTGCAATACTGAGTATTTTGAAGTATAAATGGAGTTTGTTCTGTGAATACAATGTGATAGAAAAGTCCTCGAGAGAACTTAATGCAATATACACTACAATAACTGCTGCACAGAGATTACCTTCTATCAAAGAATACACGTCATATCCTTAAGACATCTATCTACATGCGTATGACTGCACGCAATTCATGCAGACACATGCACCCTTCACCTTTTAAACTAGCTGAAACAGTGAAACAGTCACATGGTCACATTCCAGGAGGCCCCAAGGACCTGCAGTTATCTGGACCCTGATGGCAACAGCAAGGCAGATAATGAGGTCAGTGTCAAACACAACCAAAGCAGGAGAATGAACAAAACCAGCATTCTGATTTAAATAACTATTTTCATTAAGCCTTTAGGTAGTAGTGTATTTACACAAAGGCCACAGATATTCTAAGAATGCAATTTCAAAGAATCCTGGAAAGCAGAAATGATACCAAGTCACAGCTTGTACATTACATTTTTATTTGAGTTGATACTATCCCTGAACAACGCCTACTTCCTGCTTTTTTAAACCAAAAAGCAGCTATCTTCAAAGGATGCTGACCACCAAAATCCGCGTTTGAAATCCAGTTGAACATAGAGAGATGGAAGAAAAATGAATCACGGATGATGACACTGCACTTCCAATAAGGGATGTATTGTTTTCAAAACCCAGCTGCAACAAGGGCATCTCCATGAAAACACAGAGGAATGTCTCAAATTTTGAAATGCTGTTCTAATCAGTTTCATACCAGAAAGTCACGAAGACACATGATGACAAGGTTACAGACAAGAGATTTTCAAAACAAAGTACAAACCATCCCGTTGAATGTTCAATCTGCAGAATGTCTGTAGCCTCCGACTGTTTAACCACTTAGGTGTCATTTGTTTGTCTCTACTCACCTCGCTCTCTACGTAATGAGGAAATAACCTTTCTGGAAGAGACAAAGCTCTAACTGATATCGCCCTTCAATCAGCCGAGCTGTCTAGTTGATTCTGGGAGGCTGATGAGATGAGATGAAGACTTTTAAAATGCTGTTTCTGTCTCTGGGCATGAAAAGCCTGTGCTTGTTTTCCTCTAGCTGTAGCCTATTTTTTTTTCCCTGCGTTCTACTGTTATGTAGCCCATGTATAAACACACAAGGCCATTGTTCATATTCTCTATCTTCTTGACTGCAGATTATATAAACTGGCATCCAATTCTGCATACATTGGTGGCAACCAGAGGAAAACCTGTTATACATTAGTTTAGAGGGAGCTGCACCAGCTATTTGTAAACCCATGATAAATTGTAGCTGGCAAGTTTCAGACTGGTGATTAACTACAGTGTGTTGTACCATTAAAACTTAAATGTCTTAGTGGTTTAAGACATTAATAATGTGTAAATCAGGCACTAGTAAGTATTTATAGCGTCTTTCAATCAAAAGAAATCAAAGATGTAGTCACCGTAACTTCACCAACTAACATAACTTAACTTCTGAAAATAACAGGTTTAGGAGGGCAAACGATAATCTTGATAGCACGATCCTTTTGTCTTATTTATGTCTCCATTAAATAGAAAATAGAATAGAAATATGTGTATTTCAGAGTTATAATTCATGCATCTTAGAATGAGTTGGAAATATCAAAATAGGCTTTAACTTTAACAAAGTTATTTAGACTATTAGTTTGTTATTTGGGGATATGTAATTATAAGTGTCTGGTCAGATGTTTTCCCATTTCCTCTTCAATCTAAACCAGTTATTCTATATTATTAGCAAGCTAGCATTAGCTTTGTACAGTTAATACATGTATGTAAATATTAAGCAATGACTACTCTCTGCTTACTAATTTGTGTAGTGAAGAACAATTGGTGTGACCAGCTCTCTGTCTACACTGCTGTCAAACTGAAACTCCTGGTAAGTAATTATTTCTCCACAAATGTTGACTGGATTTATTCAGCTTAGTAACAGATCCTTATTATTTCCCAATGATATATTTCCCAATGACGCACTGGACCTCCGGTTGCCCATTGTGGGATTTCCAAAGTGTTACCATGCAGATAAGCTGAATCATTCAACGTGAGAAGCATTTGACTCCTTTAACCTCCACTGTGTGCCTGCTGTAGGTTTTATTCACTCCTTGCATTTGTCTGGACCCTGAGAGTCTGGCAGCCACGCAGGAATCAGTAGTCATGGAAATGGTGGATAAGGTGGAAGCGCATACGGCCACCCCGTGGGGTCATGGAGATCACACCCGAAGCAACAGCTCTGTCTGCCTCTCTGTCTCTTGCACACACTGTCCACCATAGATGGCCGATTGTACCTTATGTGCCACAGAAAGGAATCAGAAATGCTTCAGCAGGCTTTGTTTAATTTTTGTATGGATTAATTAAGTGCACAAAATGAATCTAGTAATGCAATACATAATTGTATACATCATTACAAAACAAATTATTCCATTTATGCATCATGGAATATCATTTTTAACTGTTAGGTGTTTAAATTTGAAAGATGTGACAGATTTAAGGACTTTTCAGACCCTCCTAGCAACAAATTTAGCAACTTATTGAGACCATCAAGGAAAAGTTTTTCATTCCCATGCGTGCTGCTCTTCTGCCAACAGCACTGGGTCTCTCCCTCTCCTCTTGTGCTGTGTGCAGACGTTCAGTAGGTGTGGTGTCTGGGGCTCGTTTGAGCTTCTCTCCCTCTCTCTCCACTCTCCGGATCTACAGATTAGGGTGTTTATCTTATATGTAAATAGTTAGTTCGAGCTTGTAAATATTTAAATAGTTTGTTTGATATTCTCCCACCCTCTGTAAATGTAATAACTTTTTTTTTCTTCAAATATGACGTCCCTGTAGTGAGTTTATAATTATTTGGCTAAATTGCAGTATACCAATCAGAAACAGCGCATGTGTGACGCATTTGCAATCACACAGCTTGAAATAAACAAGAAACAGTAACTCAAACAATGACTCCTCAAAACCCACCTCTACACTAAAGCCTTTTCATAGATCACCTTGTTTGTTTTCTGTCATCTCTCTTTTAATTTATCCTTCCCTCTTGTTTTATCTTCCTTATGTTTGTATTTACATGCTCCCTATGGATGTTTGATTGGGTATGGATATGCCCATATTCAATTCAATTCAATTCAATTTTTTTTGTATAGCGCCAATTCATAACAGAAGTTATCTCAGGACACTTTTCAAATAAAGCAGGTCTAGACCGAACTCTTTAAAACATTAATTACAGAGACCCAACAGTACCACCATGAGCAAGCACTTGGCGACAAGGGCAAGGAAAACCTAGAAACCTAGGACAGATCCTTCGGCTCTAGATGGGTGGTCGTCTGTCTCGACCAGTTGGGGTGAGAGAGAGAGAGAGAGAGAGAGAGAGAGAGAGAGAGAGAGAGAGAGAGAGAGAGAGAGAGAGAGAGAGAGAGAGAGAGAGAGAGAGAGGCAGGTGCACAGCAACAACAGTATTGGCAATGGCAATCTAGCAGGACCATGGCAGGAGGCTTCACCAAGATCGATAAGAACCTGCAAGACGAGAAAGCACAAGAACTCCGGGGAAGAAGTGAAGTTAGTAACATGCATTAATGGGACATGAATGAGTGCAGAAAGAGGAAGGAAGGAGCTCAGTGCACCATGGGAAATCCCCCGATAGTCTAGGCCTATAACAGCATAACTAAGGGATGGTTCAGGACTCACCTGATCCAGCCCTAACTATAAGCTTTATCAAAGAGAAATGTCTTAAGCCTACTCTTGAATATGTATATTTGTTGTTTGTAAAGCACTTTGGACTTCTGTGTTAAAAAGGTGCTATATAAATAAAGCTTTACTTACTTACTTAATTAATGCAGGGGTCAGCAATCTTTACCATCGGAAGAGCCAATTATTATAATTTTTTAAAATCTGTTTGGAGACGCAAAACATATTTGAGCCTTTTAATGCTAATTACTGACCATAGATTTAGTCTACCCGTAAGCCAGCAGCATTGGTGGTGAAATCAAACAACTTTGTTCACACACTATTAAATTTTTTATTGAATCTTGAAATGACATTTGTACACGTGAGTTTATTTTTATTCGTGTGTGTGTGTGTGTGTGTGTGTGTGTGTGTGTGTGTGTGGAGGGAGTAATATGAGTCACGTAGCTGAGGGGATAAAAGTAGCCAAGAGTCAATTAGCCAGCAGCTTAAGGCTGCCAACATGATAGCCTGTTTCCACTTTTTTACAATACCATTTGGTCAGTTTCATCTAGGGTAGTATGACAGGTATACTGTAGACCTGACAATATGAGAAATAAACACAATGATGTGTTTCTTTCGTTTTCATTATCACTCAACCAAGACTGTCACATGTCAAAGGCTTATCCCAAAAACAGACTCAAGACTGGTAAGTGGTGAAAAAATGTGTGGAGAGCTGGCAGACAGGTGAATGTGGAGGCAGAGGAAACTGTTGTAAGTTACTTTGACAAGCAAATAGGCAGGCAGACAAACTCAAATAAAAACTACTGGTTATAGAGGGAGCTGAAGCGAGGTACATAACATACTGCGTATGGCTCAACAATCCAGCAGGTACTGGTGTCAGCACAGGCTTCTTATGAGGTGAAGTCTTGATTGGAGGCAGGTGTGCTTGATTGTAGATGATGTGCAGGTGAGGAGAGTGAGAGAGAGGGCAAAGTGGGGAAGGGAACAATCAAACAGACAAAAATCCAAACCGCCCAACCCCTCATTTACAGTAAAAGGCTGAAAATCACAACTCGTGAGTCATGAGTTGTGATCTTAAGGCAGGAGTCAAAGAGGTGGAGTCGAGACTAAGACATCAAGGCTTTTTTCAAACATACTCAGCGTCCCAGCATCCTGTGTGTGAGGTTTCTTCAGCAGAATTATCTGGAATATGAAATATGAACCATGTGCTTTAAATGTGAATTTGTGATCATGCCCTTGTGTCTGACTGCACTACAAACGCAAAGTACTTGACTAGAAAATGTTGTACCCTAAAGAGCTCATTGGTATGAAGCCCAGGAGTAGCCACATGGAGAAAAAAATAAATATATCGAGGCCATGTTTTACTACATCGAGCGCTCAAAATGCTATTGTGTGTGCACGAGATACAATTAGTTCTCTTGTTCTGAAAGAAAGTTTCAGTTCAGTTGGATTAAGATGTGTTGTAGTTGAGTTGATAGCCTACCTATGTGTTCAATGTGTATCATAGTGAATAAACCAATGCCAAATTAAGGTTGATATTATAGTTAGTTGTCAGTGTACAGTTTGTGCACTTGATAGCTCGCAAAAATGTGGGTGTGCTAAACATCCCTTGCATAATACTTGGAGCAGGTGCACTGCACTCCATGCTTTAGGGAAAAAGGCTGGTCTGTTATACTGGTTCTCTGTATACTCATCTTGTGCACACAAATTAACCAAAACATGGCAACAGACTTTTCTCCCTATGAGCGCTCCTGGGGCTCCATAGTTTGGGCATTTTGATTGGCCCCAGATAAACTCTCATCTAAACGTAGTGTGCCAAACTGCATATTGCACTGCTGTATGGCTTCAGATGTTGTCAGAGGGGCCGGAAACAAAACAATAAGAAAATAAATCAAAAAGGGCACTAGCACCCAGAATGTCGTGGTGCCTTTATGGTTAAAAAGTTCCAAACCCTGGTTATGGTTAAAATTGTTTAATTTTTTAACAGATTTAAAGTATAACTAATACGCCTCTGTAATTAAAATACACAGGTAACGATTAACTATTTAACCAAAGAGGCAGATAGCTCTGGGTCAACTAGTGTTCTTGCATCAGTGCACTACATCACGTTTTTTCCACCTAAAGAGCATCCCAACGGGCGCTGCAACATGTTTTCTTGCACATTGGGCCACCATAGAGGCCATTTCATCATGTTTTATCTATAAAAGAAGCATCTAAGAGGGCACTTTTATAGCATTTTAAGCAACAGGATATCAGTGTTGCTGATATTAAGCAACCTTTTTAACATCATATGTATAAAATGCTTCATAGCTTACAGATTTAATATAGAAAGTTGATATATAAATGAAAAAATCACAATATAATGTGCAGTTGAAAGTTAAGACATACCGTTTTTGTACTTTTGCAGTAACATAAGCTCTGGTATCGATGATGTTACTGACTGAAATCATGTATTGGTGTAAAGTCAACTCAAAAGTGGAAGTATTTTTATTTACATAAAGCAGTGGCAACCTCAACTCATTGTAACATTTCTCACTTCCATTTTCAGAGTAATTCTGCCTCTTATGAAGCAACAGTGGCAGGCAGGGAGGCAGACACCCTCACCACATTCAAGAATAGGCTTAAGACGTTCCTCTTTGATAAAGCTTATAGTTAGGGCTGGATCCGGTGAGTCCTGAACCATCCCTTAGTTATGCTGCTATAGGCCTAGACTATCGGGGGATTTCCCATGGTGCACTGAGCTCCTCTCTTCCTCTCTCTTTCTGCACTCATTCATGTTCCATTAACGCATGTTACTAACTTCACTTCTTCCCCGGAGTTCTTGTGCTTTCTCGTCTCGCAGGTTCTTATCGATCCTGGTGGAGCCTCCTGCCATGGTCCTGCTAGATTGCCATTGCCAATACTGTTGTTGCTGTGCACCTGTCTGTCTGTCTGTCTGTCTGTCTGTCTGTCTGTCTGTCTGTCTGTCTGTCTGTCTGTCTGTCTCTCTCTCTCTCTCTGTCTGTCTCTCTCTCTCTCTCGCTCTCTCTCTTTCACCCAAACTGGTCGAGGCAGACGACCACCCACCTAGAGCCGAAGGATCTGTCCTAGGTTTCTGCCTTTTGACAGGCAGTTTTTCCTTGTCCTTGTCGCCAAGTGCTTTCTCATGGTGGTACTGTTGGGTCTCTGTAAATAATGTTTTAAAGAGTTCGGTCTAGACCTACTCTATTTGGAAAGTGTCCTGAGATAACTTCTATTATGAATTGGCGCTATACAAATAAAATTGAATTGAATTGAATTGGCCTTTACAACACCTGAACGCTTGCAAAGCAGTTTCAATAAACCATCTATGCAAGATTGTGATTAGAGCCATGGATCCTCACATATATACATCAGTTTTAATATAACTTTGACAAAATAATATGAGATTTAAGAGTGATCCTGATAATATAATATGTATAATATAATATAAATATAATATGTCCAGCCTGCGTGTGTGAGGCTGAAGCAGTTTCACCCCACATCTGCGACCACAGTGAACATGAGCTGTCTGTGGTAGGTGCAATAGGATATGGATCTGAGGCTTATGGGGATCTTCAGGATGCGTGGTTACGTGCTGTGACCATTGTGACCGCTTTTATTTTATGATTCCGAGTCACCAGGTGTCACAGCAACATGTATGTAACCTCCTTTTGAATTCGTAGGACAGTGGGTTAGTAGGTCCCCCTCAAACACAGATTTCTCCTGATAAAACAGCCCAATGGTGCAATCTGTTGTCATTGAATAACATTGTTATATTTTAAGTAATTGTAAAATACACAAAACTGCATCTAACCTGGATTAATATTTTATTTTTCAAAAGTTTCCCTGAGAATAAAGCATGTAAAAACAAGACTTCTTGTGTGTAATATTAAATTGTTCAAATAGGGACCACATGCATCAAACTTAACGTATCAGACGCAGTAATATACACAAATCTATTATACCTGAACGTGTTTTAGCAAATTCAATATCAAATGCATTCATTGTTAATTTGGTAGCAGTTGCAGTTGTAGATTTGTCTCTTCCAGGTGCTTCTCAGTACCAAACAAAACAATCTTTTTCAATGTCCTACATTTCTCACAAGCACAAGTAGGCCAGTGGATCAAAATAAATAGGTTACTCACAGTCACCAGTAGTACAAAAGTTTTGCCTTTTCAATTACTGATCCAGACCAATTGTTGTGACCCATTTTTGTAGCCATTCAGTAAACATTCTAGCTGTGTCAGAAGCACATGACTAAATGTCACTTATCTGCCTCATTGTGACAACAAAACAATGTTGTCTCAGTTACCCTTACGTCATTCAATGAATACAGTTTGCTCTGTTACAGCATCGCTAGCCCATTTCAGGACATGTACTTATGTCAGCAGCAACACTTGTACTTATATTCCCTTGTATAGACTACTAAAAGACAGCTGTTATAAAGGATCAAAAGTACTTAATGTAAGGCAGTCAAAGGTTGTATGTGTATAGATGGGTATTTTCCCTTCGTATTCCTTATGAAATCCATCTTTGATTTATAAAACACAACAAAGAAATGACAAACAAGATTTCTTTTCTTCTCATATTTTATTTAGCATATATAACATCTGACCATAGACTATTTTAAATAATATGTGTAGGAGGACTTATCAAAGATAACTAATACATTTTATGACAGTGACAGAGGAATGGGTATTGAGCGGGTATGTGCCGTCTCTAGCCAGCAGTAGTGATTAGTGTTATGCGCAGGCTGAGATAGGGTGGCTGAGACCACTGAAGTAAGACTTTTCGCGGTCGCTCATCACGTCGAAGTGCAGTGGCTGCTGGCAGAAGGTACACTCTGCTGACGAGTGGGGCTTCAGGTCCAGGCCGACCTCCTTCCATGTGTCCTCCAGCCTCTCTGTAAAAAGGGGGAAAAAAAGTGTCAAGTTAACTTTTATAAATCAGATACTGTACAAATGAGGGGAAAATTTGATCTCCAACATATAAACTTTAACTGAAAGTGTAATATACTTCTAGCTCTTCTTACCAACAAAGTATTTCATCATCTCAGGAGTGTGGTGAGGCGTTGGGGCGATACGCAAAAGCTCCTCTCCCCTGGCAACCGTTGGATAGTTGATGGCCTGCACATAGATGTTGTGGCGACTCATCATGATGTCACACACCTCTGTGTTTTTCTCAGCGTCTGATACCTAAAAATAATAAAGAGACACACATGGGCATTAGAGTGGAGCTACTGACTATTCTTTTAATTTAAATTTTTTTTTTTTTATATTTCAGGGGGCTTTTATTGCCTTTAATTGACAGCTAAAGAGCTGAGGGCTGCTGCAGCAAGACTCAGCCTTGGTACATGGGGCACCAGCTCTACCAGGCCCTATCTAGGCACCCCAACCAAGGACTACTTTTAATTGTAATGTGGCTGGTTATATCATGTGTATCATAATCCATGTCATTAGCTTATAAATAATAAATTACCCGGACTGGGATGATGTGGCTGGGGCAGTGCACCACGGGTAGCCCAGAGTCCATTAGCATTTGTCTGAGCAGCTTGACGTTGCGCTGGTGTTTACGTCTGAGCATGCGGCCCTCCTGGCTTTTAAGAACCTGGATCGACTGCCTGGCTCCGGCTAACAGCATTGGTGGCAGAGAGGTTGTGAAGATGAAACCAGCAGCGTAGGAGCGCACCGTGTCCACTAGAGCAGCAGTACTCGCGATGTAGCCGCCCACACAGCCGAAGGCCTTGCCTGGAAGAGGATATGACACATGTTGTTATTCTTTGATTTGTATCCTTTAAACAGAAATTGTTGTTTACAAACAGTCACTGCATTACGCTAACTGGTCTTTGCTAAATCCACCCACTGTAAATCGTACAAACTAGTTTCTGAAATGGCAGCACCACAGGTACAGAGGCTGTAGAGCTCTGAGTTAGAAATAATTGCCCCCTCAGCTTGACAGTGACACAGAGAGTAATTCAATAAGAGTGTAACAAGAGCCCACAGTCTCCTAGCAACAACGGAGCTGCTCCAGCTTCTTTAAGCCCTCAGGCATATTGAGTGACACAGATGAGGCCAGATCCTGAGTGTAACAACAAAACAGAGCTACAAGATTCTACAAAGATATATACACAATAAAATACAGCAAAATATGAATGTAAAGACTGTAAATGCTTCACGGAATGGCTCAAGAACATTTTGGCATGGCTTCAGAGTCAAGATGCTAAGTAGAATATCGTCATTAATTTGTTTTAGTAGAGATTAAAAGAAATGCTGACCTAGTGTCCCTGAGATGATATCCAACTTGTGCATGACGCCATCCCTGTCTCCGATGCCCCCTCCCCGGGCGCCGTACAGGCCCACAGCATGGACCTCGTCTACGAAGGTAATGGCACCAAACTCATGGGCCACATCGCACATCTCCTCCAGCGGACACACAGCACCTGTGTTACAGAAAGATGGATAGAAACAAAAGCTGTTAGCAAAAGTACAGAAACAAAAGAGGTGACTTTAACAACTAATGAGCTAATGAACAATTTTTAACGAGCAACTGTGTAATAAATTTGCTTTATAAATGCTTTTTAAAAAAACAAAACAAAAAAACTAACCATCCATGGAATGGACAGTTTCAAAGGCCACAATCTTTGGTTTTGTGGGGTCTCCCTTCTGTAGAAGCTCTCGGAGATGGCCGATGTCATTGTGGCGAAAAATGAATTTCTTAGCACCACTGTTCCTGATACCCTGGATCATTGAGGCGTGATTGCCTGCATCAGAGTAGATCTCACAACCTAAAATAGGTCACAAGAGAGAGAGAGGAAGTGAGAATGAGAGTTTAGGTGAGAATCAAAGTGACTCAATTTAATGCACGACTGTCACACATGAATTACTGAGTAACCAATGTTGGATCGTTATAAATATATAGTCATTTTTGTTTACCAGGCAGCATTTTGGCGAGGGTGAAGAGGGTGGAGTCATTGGCGACAAAGCAGGAGGTGAAGAGCAGTGCAGCGTCCTTGTTGTGAAGGTCAGCCAGTTCTTGTTCCAGTTCCACATGGAATTTACTGGTCCCAGAGATGTTCCTGGTGCCTCCTGCCCCTGAGCCATGCTTTCGTAAAGTTTCCCTGGAAACAGACAAGATGAACATATGGGAAAATGAATAATTAAGCTGGAGTTCCAAGTAAATGACACACTGCTACAAGGTGTTACAGGGTATCAGAGACCTGGGCAAGATCAAACAAGCTGAAAAGAGAACAAGAAAAACATTCCATTAGGGCCCCACTGAGGTTTAGGTGTTAACTATGGCTAACTAACACTCTACACCCACACAAACAATGCACTGGATCACTCATGGGTATATTCAATTATTATGCGCTGTGTCTCAAGTTCTCAAAGTTTCTAAGCATCAACAGGAGACGTACACAGTCAAGAAAAACATTTGTGTTACTACATGTGTGCGTAGACCCAAGAGACTGAATCATTTCACCCACACAAACAACTCCTTCAGTACTCACACAATGGACTGCACCACCCGTGGGTGTCGACTCATGCCCAGGTAGTCGTTGCTGCACCAAACGGACACCTCCCTCTTGTCCTCTAAGGAGCCTGTGAAATCGTCCGCCATGGGGAACTCGCTGGCCAGACGATTCACAGTCTTAAACACACGATATGTGTGGTCGCTCTTCCTCTCTACGATCTTCTTATCAAGGAAGTCGTCGTAATGGAAGCGGGACACTGTAGCAGAAGAGGAAGACAAGGCTTGCTTAATGTGGCTTGCATTGTAATGGATGAAGCAACGTCCGAACATGATGAAAGTCTCAGCTCACCTTGCTCAAAAAGACCAAAACATACTGACTTCTAAAGGGCTAATCAGTAATTAAACAACTTTACCATTTAAACTAGTAGTAGGAGTGCTTAAATTAAACTTACTGCTGGCTGGCAAGTTGTCCTGCAGGAGGTGGGAAACCCTTTTAGGTCGCTGTTTCAGGAGGGTCTTCATTAGATTAGTTTGCTCATCTCCGCTTCCCTTAGCAGTCTCCTTCAACTGGGCAGGGGACACTTCTATAAAAAAAAAAAAAAAAAGGACCAAAAGAAATTTGTATTAAGTCATGTACAAAATGATTGCCTACAAACAGCGTAGTTTAACCAAATTCTGAACAAATCTTACCTTTCTGGACAGTGCGGACTTCCTGAACATCCTCCTGGAACTCCATGCCGACCTGGCGGACCACGCTGCTGTTCTTCTGGCCCATCTCAGCAGCCAGGAAGGGGCATTTGGAGGCCACCGTCTGGCCTGAGGGTGGCATAGGGTGGCCGGCAGGAAGCTTGGATTCCTGTTTGGGGCCTACAAGTGAACAAAATAAGTTTTAGAGTTAATATATATCCATACCAACAACCTATAAAAAAATATCACAGCAATAATTCAGTCAGTAATTGCATTAACTGGGATATTTCACTTGATATAAGCATCTTCCTCACCTTCACTGGCAGACATGGTGTCCTCAGTCTTCTGGTGGGAAGAGGAAGAGGAGGAGCAGAGGGCCCGTGCCATTGATGGAGCCATGGGTTTAGAGGCCAGCTCCATCATGATGGGGCATCGCTGGGCATAGCCCACCAGAGACTTTTTGGTCTGCTGGAAGAAGGCCTGGGGCACACGGGCGAGGAATGGACAGCGACGCAACATCACATCCATTGTCAGCAGTGGTGATTATGATTGTCCAAAAGTCTAAAGGAGAAAGTCAAGAGTTAATTTAAACTACTGCTATGGACAGTTCAGATATTTCTTTCCATGTGATACAAAAACCTGGTTTTGCAAAGTGTTTGCATGAAGGCACCAGAATAGGATATTTTTCCCTTTTTAGTTGAAATACAATAGATTAATTCAAACAGTTTCAGTGTCATAAACACACTATAACGCAACAATAATTACACATTAATAGCACATTAAACAGTTATTCATAATATAACATTATTCTTCCTGTGCATGACAGCTGTTGAGAATACTTTAGTTCCCTATGAAACTTCACAATGTGTTTAGTGAACTGTTGCAACTGTCCTTTTGCAACTGAGGAGAGGAGAGACATTAATGTTGAGTTTTGAATGTGTTTTTGTAGTGCAAAGCAAATCCCCTGGGACAGACGTGTTTTGTGTGACCAAAAGTACTGACTGGAATAGATTACACTCCAGGAAAATTTTTTTTAAAAAGTGTGAAATTTGCTCAGTTTACTGCTGAAGGTCATATTTGCTTAAAGTGACCCATTTGTTGACAATTTTCTGTAAAGCTCTATCGTCAAGGTCAATAATAGACCTTGAAGCTCAAAGCTTTCAACCACTATACCACAGTAACATATTATTGTCTACACTTTAAATGTTTTGTGGGCTACTCCCTGAAACCTAAACCATCTTTGTGAATATTAGTTAGTGTCAGGTGTCTTTTTCAAATGAAACCCTCATTTTACAATCACATCTGTTTGGCTGGATGAAGTGTTTTGGATCATTAAAACCGGTGTCTGATCCTGTCATTGTAATAAACATTACACTGCTTACGTCTATGCCTGTGTCATAACCTTCCCCCGGTAGAAACCAGGTTTACACATTCCTCGACAGAGTAATCACTCCCATACTTTACTCCCATTGAGGTCCGAGGACATGGAAAGTAAAGTCTGCAGGATATCTACACAGCTTATCGGTTTCCTCCAATACTCAAGTCTCTACTTGTGTTGCACTGGAAACATCATGCTGTCAGATTGTGTAACCCTCATTTGAAATTCCGGTATCCTAGCTTGCATTGTATAATGTAAACCCACATGATTAAAAAAACAACTTTATCGACACTAGCCTTTACATATATACACATTATAACTACCATTTACGTTACAAGCGTGACCATTTTAGACACATTAAGTCGTTTTCACGCGTTTACGAGCCCTCAGAAGAGGCGTTATGTTACATGGTAAGTCGCGAAGACGAGCATTGACTGGTGATTAAACATAAAGAGAGCAAGAGTCACGACTTGTCTGTCTCCAATGTTAGAATTAAAAATAATCGCTTACACCGTCACGTGTACGTTAATTTAAGGTAAGAGTCTCGCCCTGCCTGCCGCTCGTGGGGCTTGCCGGTGCACCGAGCTTAATCTAGGCTGCTAGCATTAGCCAAGAAGCTAACCTAGAACCAGAAGTAGAAGATCGATGAGGACGAGAAAAAAAACTAAAAACTAAAAACTTACCCTTTTAAAAAACTTCACACTTGATAGCGTAATCGTCCTTTATCTCTCGTGTCGTGGACAGGATACCGGCACCGACGCTAAGATAAGTTCTGGCAAGGATTCCTCGTTATTTAGGAGACGGAAGAAGGCGACTGCTTCGTTATCCTGCACTGAGGACGAACGAAGAGGACGAGGACGCGCAAGTGGTTATAAGAGCTCAAGCCATGGCCGAGATCTCGCGAGATCTCGTCGTGTTTACGTCAAAGGTCATTTGAGTTATTATTATTCACCCGTTTGTGAGTGACTCATGTGATCGCTCATCTAAAAGTAGGGTCGTGTCTCTGCAGGTGTTTGAATGTGTACATGTAATTTATATATTTTTGGTCTTATGTTAATTATATTGTTTATAAATCAATACAATTTCTTCGATATTGCTGACATTTTCAAAGGGGGGTTGTTAATTCACAAGGACATTGTTGTATGTCTGTTAATTTTACGTTAAAAGTAGCATCTCAACACGCTCCTTCAACTGTAGTGTGCCTCACTTTTGATACAGGAAAGTGTTTTTGAATGGATTCAATTCTTGACATTCATTCTCTTGAATTCCAGCTCAAGATTAAATGGATTAGTTGAGTTGAGTAGATTTCCTGTGCACATGTGACCTCTGGTGTTGAAAACGAGACACTGACACTGAACTGGTTCTTGAATATAGACTGTATATAAAAATGTCTATATTCTTTGTGTTTGCTTGTGTGGTTGTGGAAGAACTTGAAGCCATTAAAAACTATTTGCAATGGAGGAACCAAATGTGAATTTTCCACAGTGTGTCCATTCAAACAATAGCATAGAACTCAATATACATAAACAGTATACACCCATTTGCAGGTTTATTATGAACCTATCTGTCATCATCAGTGCTCGATTTTTGTTGTAATTGTCTGAGATGTTTTTATTTTCATACAGTAATGGTCTACCTTCATTGATATAAATTGTGAAGAAGAAAAAAAAACATAACATCAAAGAAATATGAATCTCTCGACTGTAAAGGTTATAATGCAAAAACATAGACATACATAAATACTATCATATTACAAATTCTAATATAGCAATTGAATATGCACTACTAGTATATAACAGTATATGATAATATGTAATATATTACCAATATAATACAGACTTTGACACCTGCAGTCAACAGTGTAGAGGATGAAGGGCAGGGGTGAGAGGACACAACCCACAGCCAGTTGTACTTTTGAATGGTGTCAATGATGGATGCATCGTCAGCCTCTGCCTGCGCAGTATGCAAACTGGAGTGGGTCCACCTGTGAGTCTGCTGCCTCGATTTTGTGGTTTTTTAATAAACCTCTGTGTAGACTTCCTCACAAGGGAAGTCAAAGCCACAGGCCTGAGGTTGCTTATAACCTCAATAGTGCCCTTCTACGGTAAGGGAACAACCATCTGAATAAGGAAGCAAATAACTCTGACTGCATATTCTATAAAAGGTCTTTATCGGACATCTGAATCTGTCAAGAAAGTGTTTAGTCTTCAGACCCAGTCCTAATGTTATGCCTTCTCGGCATGGACAGATGTGGTCTTTTGCTGCCCTCTACTGATCACTTTAGGCTCTAGCTCTGTTTGCTATAAAGTTTTACCTGCAGGACTTTTCACATGCTGTCTAAAAGTTGACAGCAGGGGGTGTAAAGTTTTTGCCACAATACATTTTCTCATGTGTTGTTCTGAAGCACAGTTTTGTGTTACTAGAGTATTTAGAGTATTTATGCTACTTCCTTCCACTAGAATCTGATAATCTAATGCCAGATAAACATTAACGTAACAATGACAAGAGGCATTGTGCTCCGTAATGGGTACTTGGTTTTGATTCTTTGTTTATAATACTTTGATAGTTTTACTTTACTTTAGCATTTTGAATGCATTTTAACTTGTATTTTCACATTGTGATATTCAGTGATATTTTATTATCATTCACAAACAAGATTGTAGAATTAAATTTAGATATAGTTCCCTGTATGCTACCTTAAAATAAATAAATGAGTAAAACAAATGGAGTCCCAAAGAATAAAATACAATCTTAATACTTATTCCGCCATGCAGTGCCCTCAATAGAGCAGAAACATTGTCAAGATTTATGAGAATCTGTGCCTCCGCTGCGGCCTATATGATAACCACAATGTTATTTGTCACTTCCTCTCAGAACAGTATCTTACCCTCGAATGAATATATCGGGAGCCATCAGAGATCAAGCATAATAATCACTAGTCAAACTAAAATCACTGTAATACAATAATTTTATGTCGGCAACAGGAATGACAGGCCACATTCAAACTAAGGAGGATATTTTTTAAGCTCAACCACAAATACATCAGACCGCCATCAACATTTGGATGCACTTTTGGTCTATCTATTATTTGCAGGCTCTTTACCAACCACACACAACAGTGGGTACAGCTCACAGCACTCATTCAAACCAAAGGATATGGTGGGGAGTCCTATGGTCTATTGAGAGGGTGAAAGACTAAGATGTCTTACTCTTTGTAGTTCCTGTTACCACAGATGTCATTGTTGGATATGTCATTGTTGATCATTGTCAGACTCATTTTGTTTTCACTACATTTAACTTAGTCAATCGACAGCAATTGTTTTTTAAAATTAATTGTATAAGTTATTTATCAAGTTAATTCTGAAAATGATTGGTTCCAGTTGGTTGAATACAGTATCTTTGAGTTTTGGACTGATAAAACCAGCAATTTGAAGAGCCGTCTCCTTAACTCATTTTGTAGAGAAGCCTGGAGGTAAAAATATAGTTTTACCCGTTATTGTTTGATTATTTGATGACACTGTAATGGTGTATGTTTCTAAATTTTTGACAACTTTCTATCATATTTGCTGAAACTTTCACTATATCCTGAAAGTAGTACATGAAACAGATAATCTGCAGTTAAACAGGTTCTCTGGCTCGCCCTATTGCTCCTGAAATACAGAATCCACCACACCTGAACATAAACAACCACTCAGAGCCAAGAAAAATCTAGGATGTATTCTTGCAAACACCATTAGGACGGTTTTCACAGATTATCTGTCTCATGTACTACTGTCACTGACAAATATGACAAAAAGTTTAGAAAAAATTACCTACTGCAGCATTCAGTAAAAGTAAAATGGCTACTGCAATGTTAAATGCTCTGTTATAAGTAAAAGTCTTATGCTCAAAAATCAGGGGCAGATCTAGAAAAATATTAATGGAGAGGCAAGAGGGTGGCATGGGGAGATGTATGCAGATTAAATCCCAAACAATCACATTGATGATTCTGTCAAGAAGCCTATTAAATATGTTTGATTGTTACAGACAAATAATTGTATGAAAAATATCAGGAAAACTAATCTCTGAGCAATATTCACATAAAATAATGCGCTTAAACTTCAATTATTGTGTTGAGAATCCGGTTTATTGTACAGTTTATCAGTTGTCCTGTATGCATTAAATATATATATTTATATATAAATATAATATGTAATAAACAAACAATCACTTAGTCAGGGGTCCTCAGTTTACTGAGTGATAAAAAAGGGGTCCCTTCAGGGAAAAAGCTGGGAACCACTGGTCTAGATGGAGTTGACAGGGGCTAAACTAACCTAGCCTCGCATGCTTTATTAATCCTGACCTCCACTAAGTTATCATCAGGGGCAGTAATGCCACATTCAGTAACTCTACGGCCATATTGATTTAGTATACTGTCTAAACTTTAAAGACCTGAGGGTGGGAAAAAAAAAAAAAAAAAAAAAACACATGACAAAAGAATGGGCGGAACTTCGCCTGAGTGAAGCGACTGTGTTCGTAGACGATCTTCGCAGCCTCTCGTTGCTCCCGCAGATGTCTACTGTTTCCTGACTGAACACGGGACTAGAAGTAGCCATGGCGTCCGGGCTGCCCAGTGTGGTTGTGTTGGCTCTGTGTGTGACCCTGGTCCCTTGTGTGTCTGGTGAGTTTTTATTTTATTTTTCATTCTTTAAACTCTTTATCGGTAAATGTCTCTTTTTGTGGTGTGGTTGGCGTTTACTGCGTGTTTTGAACGTTAGCTGTTGCTAGCTGACGTTAGTAACCGGGGGCTCGAGCACACTGACTGCGGGGCGATGCCAGTGACGTTAGCTTCCCCCCACCATGTTTTTAATGTTAACGTCTAAATAGCTGTTAGCATCTGTTAGCTAATGGGAAACCAACTGCGTGATTTAGTTCCTCTATTTTACAATGTCATGGTCAACATTGGTTGACAACACTACTCAACTAATAGCTAGTCTTTGTTTACTCTTTCCTCTACTCTGTTGCTATAATTCGATCACTTTATATATAACGTTAAATAAGGTTGTCAGAAGAGACAAATCCGTTATCACTTTCAGTATTTGTCAAGATGAAGATCTCTAATGCCAACTAAATTACCCTCATTGGTAAACGAGGCTGGATTAAATATCTTAAACGCCTCTAACGCGATAAAATGACCATAATTAAATGTGCTGTATACGCTATAACGTTTATTAATGTCGTATTTAATGCAGAACTGTTGTATTACACTGCATTACTTTCAGCAGGTTTTGAAAGCACTAGATATTGTTCTGTTGTCAGGGAGATGTTTTTATTTTTCATCATTAAATCGATAACCTTATCATTATTCTAGACCTAGACCATCAAGCTAATACATAAACTCATAATGGAGTGAAGCCTTTTATACGTGACGTGTGTTTCATTCAGCTCCCTTTGTGCTTTAAAGTTAAATTGCCTTTGCAGTTCTGTCTTCAATGGTAGAAAGACTAACCTTTCCTGCTCCTGTCTCCTGTCTCCTGTCTCTTGTCTGTCTCTGCTCTGTTACAGCGGGGAGCTGGCACTGTAACTCCTACAGAGATACAGGCGGCCAATACCACTCAAGCCAGACATGCATGATAGGATTTTGCTGTGGTTCCTGCTATAACAGATACTGCTGTCAGGATAGTTTCTGGCGTTTTTCTAAGGATGATCAAGAAGACTGGTATTCTATTCTGTTTTATTCTGTAATAGATTATACAGTTTCTCAACCTATAGTTGACATTGAGAGTTTAACTTTCCATGTTAGATGGTTAGACAGAATTATTTTAAGTGGTTTCTTTTTGAGTTTTTCTCTTTGTCCCTGTGTGATCACTGTACAGATGTGTTGTTGCGGCCTGTTACACAGTGATCTCCCTACAGGAAGTAGTGACTTCCTGTGCACGACCCCCAGCTTGAAGCTGTGGGGTGCTACTGTGTCTAAAGAGATTTTTAGAAACAATAGGGCAGAAGGGCAACGGGGCAATAATCTGTATTTATAATAGCGAACTGATGTATTTGTGCTAGGTCTGAGAGGTCAGAGAGGATAAAGTAAGGCATGATGTGAGTCTTTAGGTTTAACAGGAGACTCATAGGTTAATATAGAAGATTAGTGTTGTGCAGAAAAAAAAGGAACTTGTCAAATCTTTTGTATTTAACAGCCAAATCTGATTTGACTGAAATTCTGAGTCGGGTACAGCCCTAGTTTGTGTTTTTCATTAGTTGTTGTGACAGATATTGTTGTTGTTTTCAACCAGTAAGGTAATAGCAGCATAAATATTGTTTTGCATAATTTCTTCTGTTTCTTTTTTAGTGATGATTTTGCCTATAGACATTCACCATTGCCCATGATCCTTGGTATTGGTGGCTTTGTGACCTGTTTGCTCATCTTCATCTGCTGCTGTGTCTGTCCCTGCTGCTGCCTGTACAAGATGTGCCGCAAGCCAAGACGTAAGTAGCCCTCCACTAATACTGCTCATTGTTGTTGGTGATGTTTTTTTTTTTCAAGGTTATTTTATTGTCTTTTACGACACAAGGAAATTTAGATATAGATCCCCTTATGCTACTTAAAAGAAAAAAAAAAAATTGATTGAGTCATAAAAATAAAAAAAGACAAATAATACTAATTTGTATGATGCATTGTTGTCGAGGAATTGAACAGTCTTCCAGCCTGAGGAAACAAGCTGACAGATAGTTTGACTGCCTTGTCCAAGCCTAATAGTCTCCATATTTAGTAGCTATATCCTCAGCACGAGAACATTTCTCAGCGTGACTACTTAGGAAGAAACACATTGCTTTTCTTTCTGCAACATTTTGGAATTTTTAAATCAGTAAAGCCTTAAGTTCCTCTTCTGCAGACAGTCGTAACTATGGTGCTACTTCACAGTATGTGAACAGTATGATGTTGCTTAAGTAACTATCAGGTTACAAAAAAGTTCATAAAAGGGTAGTTCAACCCTTTTCATCATGAGGTGGCATGAGTTACTCATTGGCAGCATGAGTGTGCAGTATGACTATATATCAGCAGATGATACAGGTTTTGTCTACAGTCAGATATTTTTTTGCCATACTGTTTATATCTATCCCTTTTAATATGTCTGGTTGTACTGTTTATGATTTCACCATCTAAATCCTGGTAAGTTCACATCCTGGTGCTACCTGAACAGCAGGTTAACACACACAAGTGGTTGAACAGGTGTTTAAGATAAACAGAAACTTAAATGGGTGCAAAAGAAAAGGGAAAGTAACTGCATCAATGCAGTGGAGTACATTGATCTGTAAGGCATTTCATTCACTGGATTAGCCAAAACAAAATGTTCCAATCTGGCTATTTTAACCATTAATTGATTTTTCAGAAAATGTACTATGATAAAATTACAGATACTGTCATAGAGGATTTTATCAATAGTGTCCACTCTTACAGTGGTTGTGATATGATGCATAGATTGGATCAGTCCTGTGAATGGAGATATTGTCAGTTACCTGGCACCTTGTCAGAGTGGAGCCAGTTTATGAAAGGCTGTAACCATCTACACATCATACATGTTACGTATATATTGGTATCACTGATGCTTGATTTTACCTCCTCTCTATATTGTGAAAGATAAAAAATCTGAATCCATGGTATCCCATTGTCTCTTCATTGATACCACTACCAGTAACCAGTGTTCACTGTCGTCGATGTCTTTGAGAGTTTGTAATCAGTGGCATCTTCATCAAATAAGAATTTTAGAGCTGAAATGATCAGTCAATAAATCAGTTAGTCGAGCAGCAAAAAAGTAATTGGCAAAAATAGTTTTAAGTCGTTTTTTTACGGACAAAATTAGCTGCTGAGTGAATTCAGTATTTACTGTTTTCCCAATGTTATCAGTGGAATAAAATTTGGAATCTTTGGCAATATAAAATATAAATATTTCAGCTTGGGCTCTGTACCTGTTATATTTTCACAATTTATTGTCATTTTATGAAAATAATTGTCAGATTAACTGGTAATTAAACTAAAATTCAACTACCACTGCTGCCCTGGGATATTTTAAAACAACGTTTCCCTAACGCACAAGCTCTAAGCAGTGACCAGGTATCAGTATTAGTTGGAGGCAATATTAACAGCATGTAGCCACAGGGCTCCAGACTAACTTTTTGCATTGGTTGCATTGGTTGCACTGGTGCGCCTAACTTTTTTTTTAGGTGCACCAGCACAAAATGTAGGTGCACCCAAATTTTTCATTGCGTTGCCTTTAACACCATAAGGTCACCTTTTTATCACTCTCCATAACTTTCATATAATGTGAATGATTTTTAAACAACAATAAGGCGTAGAGAGATGCTTGTCTTTATTTGAAGCACAATTATATATGAAAAGAAAATAAAGTGTTTAAAGTGCTTCACTGAGCTGAATTTGAACATTTCAAACTAAAACACTTAAGCAAAATAAAACATTTCCAAATAAAAGTTTGATACGAAACGTTGTTGACCCGCTCACGAATGCACTATTTCCGGCCATATTCTGACCGCACTCCTGACAGTACACGCAGTGCATTGCGTTACGTCCTTTGTTGTACCTCAGCCAGGGAAATTGTTTCAGCCAGTCCTGTCTGAAGGAATATATTTTGGCTTTTTTAATTTGGGTCTCGGAGCCTCGGTTGTCTCCTCCTCTGGTCCTGAGTTTGATGCTGTCGCCGAAGGACCGTGGCTCTGCAATTTTTTAACACACACAACTTAGCGCGGTGAACAGGACCACACCGAGTCTCTTATTGGTTAAGAACACGATATGATCCTACCATGAGTGTGTGAGTTCGGTCACAGGAGAACACAGAGAGATGATGCGCTTGCGAAATAAATGTATGTTTTCACCCGGGCAGCGTCAGGTGCACCAGTGTGACCAAAAAAAATTTTGGTCGCACGCTGGAGCCCTGAGCCATATGCTGTTGCTTCTGCAACATGTAGCTGCACATGTGTTGGTTTCCTGCAGACAACCACCTCTTGCTGACTTGCTGTTGACAGCTTCTCACACTATGTAAAATGCAGTGCCTGATTGTTTTTTTGGGCTAGGTTGTTTTAATGAAGAAATCAGACTCTTGGTTTCCAGTGTGTTGGAGTATTTGTCTAGTTTTCAAAACAACATCAGGGGACTTATTTGAGGTCTGTTGGCCCACCCACCACATGACTTTCATTACTGCAAAGGCTTGGTCTTAGTAATAACACAGACCGTGAGACACAGAGTGCAAACTGGTCCAACATTCCCCAAATCTCAATAATATGCAACAGATATGTGACACTGACAGCAGTTACAAGGATGTGCTTTATTTTGTGAAGTAAACCCCGTCCAGAGCTGTGAAGCTTTCGGCGTGCCGTGAACGTTTTTTTTTAATAGTCTTCTGTGGTGAGCAGTGTATCCCACAGGTTAGTGAGTCAGTGTAGTCATCAGTCATAATTGCTGTTTGGAGCTAGGGATATATCGTAAAGCTTTATTTACATAATTTCCATTAAAAAGAAAGTAAATCAATATTACAGCTGTCTCTGGCATGGACACATCAGACACCTTATAGTTTCATTCATTACTAAGAGTTGGAGTAATCTTGTAGAGACAAACAAAGACAAAAAGCCTCATGCATGAGCATTTTGTATATCCTAAACCTTTTAACTTTATCTGTATCTTTATTAACTGTCCTACATTGCTCATTTTAGGCTGATAAATGCCACCTGTTTTTGAGGAGGTCTGCAAGACTTCATCATTGTCATAATCAGCTTCTCTAAAATTGCCATATAAGGTGCCTGTTCCGCTCAGTATGAGGGGAAGTTTCCTTGACAAAAATATTACCAAGAGTGAAAAGAAGAATTTCATAGTGCCGACTTTAAGGTCCTGCTGTCAGAGGCAGACAAATAAATAAAAAAGTTTATCAGAAACAGTAGTGCTTTTGGAGTGGTAGGACCCAGTTGGAAAATATTAAATATTAATAACACAGCAGCTGATCAGAGCTGTACTGTGACAGAGGTAAAGTAGGAATAATTTGAACGTACAGTATGTAATTTTTGCCGATGATGTCATGAAGTACCATAGGATCATGGGAGTTACCCAGACGTTATAGCAACTAGAGGCAGGCAAGGAAACGCACCGTTACCTGAAAATAAAGTTCCAGATTTATCGGGGTTTGAATGTTGGAAATATTTGGGATTATGTAAGAACACAACTCAACAAAATATATAACACCGGTCTAGAGGTTTTGTGTGGAACTGTTACATCTTATAGCTTTAACATGAACTTAAATGCAAAAAAAAAAAAGTCCTTTTAAAGCAAAGCAGTCTATTATATATAAGAGAAGTAATTATGGGGGATCTGACAGTCACAGAGATATAATGAGAGAACACTATAACCTGCAGTAGGGATGTTACCCTACTTACCTAGTGGTTCTTACTGAACAGTGACCTACATTAAGACCCTGAACTGTAGTTGTTATGACAAAAAATATGACAAAACATTTGTGACAATATGATATGAGCCATGATGATGGTAAACAGAATATTTGCATTTGCTTTATCATTACTATTGATAAAATACACAAATTCATGCTGAAGCTAGCCAGCTACCCCAAATTATAGCTGGTTTTCAGGGCTTTAGAAAGGATAGGCTGACATTGTTCACTGAAGGCTGCTTGCTAACGTTAGCTTATTAATAACAGTATCAATTAGCTGACGCCTCGTCAGGTATAACCAGCATGTTTAGATGAGGGTGATCTCTAACCGTCTCTCTACATGGATTCCAGACTGTGTTTGGGAAGCACAGGGGATCCTTTGTTTTCGTTAAGGGGCCGAAGTCGTTGCTGACTTTTGGGCTAACTCACTTTACTTTCACCCAGTAGCACGAAACGTCTTGGGTATTAAAGAGCTGCAGTGTTCATTCTTGGTGAAACTGTAACCTTCACTGTACATTTACTGCCACTACACAACTTCACTGCTAACCTTTTCTGCCCCTCGCATTCACTGTCACTTTCTGCTGCTCGTTCTCTCACTTGCTCAACCACACACCCACCATACACACACTATTTACTGACCTACTGCTCAAAGGAGCTTTGCTACTCTTACAACAGTAGTTACCGTCTGTCGTTTAAACTCACAAATGCGTACATTTAGAAATTGTACGTCTAGAACTTTCGGGGTCTCTTTGGCTCTGCAGATCCATGTTTCAGGATGGTTCAGATTGGATTACTCGCGCAAATGCGACCATGTAAAATTGTAACTGGCACACTCTTAAAAAAATGGTTGCAGTCTGGAGCCCTGCCTTGGCATGTGGATTTCCACGACTTATTATTTTTTTTACAAGCTTTGTGAAATCAGAGACAAGACAGCCTGCATCCTCTGTTCTCTACATTACAGCAGGGTGGGATCTAATTCTGTCTCTGTTGTCCTTTTTGCCTTCAACCCATTATTTCTGCTGCCAGATTTCTTCTTTTGTTACCTTCTCTTCGCAGTGCTTAGACTAGATATCACTTATCTATTTGTGTCCACCATTTAACCCGCTTCTTAAGTGTATTCCCCACAGTGGAGGAAAGCACCTGATTTGTGGGTGTGTGTTTGTGTGCGTGAGTGTGTGTGTGTTGACACTCAAGCATGTACACTGTTGCAAATGCTACACACGCTTGCGTTTCCTGTCAGTTTGGTCTTTTCAGCCAGTGTGTTCAGGTTGGTTGTGCCATGTGCCGCATGGCACAACCAACTAAACTCTGGCAGAGACCAGTAGGCTAAATCACAAGCAAGAATGTGGACTCCCCAACTCGGCCTGTTGCATGTTGGGATCACATCCAGGAATGTCAGAGCTCCACCTCGTGTGACTCATTGTTTCCACGACAACCACAGTGGGGGAAAACTCAAGACCATCTCACAGGAAGTTGTCGTGATGACTCCATGTCTCTTAGAAAAAAAAAAAAACACATGGTGGGAGAGTGAGACACACACACACACACACACACACACACACACAATTTCACATAGTGGTTTAGACTTGTGGAAACACTTGGGCCTGGAAACATTGATCCCTGCACACACACACACACACACACACACACACACACACACACACACACACACACACACACACACACACACACACACACACACACACACACACACACACACACACACACACACACACACACACACACACACACACACACACACACACACACACATACACATACACACACACACACACACACACACACACACACACACACACACACACACACTGAGACATGACACTTTATGATGTTATGCCTTTGGTTACAAGAGGATCGTCCTTTCCTGTCTTACTGTCTTGTATGTTTGTACTAGTCAAGTTTAGTCCCCTTTGATAAGAATATTAATAGAAATATAGATTAAGTACTTTGTGTAACATGGAAAAAAAGCACAGGTTGTGCACTTTTTTCAGCCATGAATATTGTCTGCATGTCCTCCTTTCAAATGACACCTTTTGAGCCCTCCAGTGTAAAATTAAGAAGCACGTACAGTAGTTTATGTGACAGCAAATTAAGTAAAATTAATATGACTGGACAATTTGTTGAAAGTTGACTTACTAGAATTTATTTCAGCTCAGTTTTGTGTCACTGCCGGGTAGAAGTGCGTTCAGATAGAAGTGATGGTCTGAGTTAAGAATTGTTGCATATTGGTGGAACAAACTGTTTGTGAAGCATTTGTCGTGTCTGCATGTTGAAACATGCTATACAAATACATGTATTATTATTATTATTATTATTATTAAGCTAGCATTAGAAGATGTTTTTCTGGTTCGCCAAACAATCAACTCAGATCAGACTAGCTTTTGTTAGTCAAAGCTAGTTTTAGTTTTGTCTTTCATTTTTTTCCTTGCTCAACAATTCCTCCCATCGGTGTACTCCCCCACTTAAACTGAAACTGTGATTGAAAAGCCTACACAGATAATTAACAGTATTTGTCATCTGTTTCTGTGTTGCGTTACAGCTGTATTAGCTACCACCACCCACACCACAGTGGTCACCACCGCTCCTCAGCAGTACCCCCAGCAGCCAACTGCAACACCTGCACAGCCTCAGTCCTACCAGGGGGCCCAGTATCCACCCTACCAGCCCCTACCAGTGCAGCCGGGCTACGGAGCCCAGCCCATGCCCCAGGGCTACGGAGCCCAGCCCATGCCCCAGGGCTACGGAGCCCAGCCCATGCCTCAGGGCTACGGAGCCCAGCCCATGCCAACATCAGGCTACCAGGGACAACCGTTCACAGCTGGACCCCCACCAACATATCAGGAAGCCAGTGAGTGTGGATTTTTGTTAACCCAGACAAAGAGTTACAGGTCTGGAGAACTTTTATAACACCCTACTATTATTAACTTGAAAACGATCACAAAACTATTTGTTGACCTAAAACAAAACAAAATTATCCTTTTGAAAAGATGAACGATGACGGAATGCTTCACATTTTTTGTCAATGAATAAAAAGTAAACGATGATGTAAAAGATGGATAAATGGACAGATTAATTACTGCTTTAATACAGAATCTTATTCAGCAACCTGCATGCATCTGTAGAATTGACGCACATTACAACTAAACTTAACAGTGAAGCTCCTGATTGGCTAAAAGTATCCTCCGCCTCCCAAAAATATCTCTTCCTCAGAAGGTGATGTACTGTAGCTGCTTAATCTGTTACAATAATAGGTAACATGTTGCAATCAGTAACAGAATTTCTGTCTGTATTATCTAACATAATCGGTTCTTGTAAGGAAAAAGGAACAAATTTATGGACTAAATTTACCTACAATCCCACTGAAAATTAGACAGGAAGCAGCAGCAAAATAATGAGTGAATGTAACACTACTTTCTATCGGCTATCTTTTGTGCTGCTATTAGTAGGAATGAGTAAAGGATTAATGTTTGGCAACCAGCCGTCTAAATCTTCCTCTGGATGTTTGAACTGCTCACCTCAACCATGCGGAGGCAGTGAACAGTGTTGAACAAGTAAATACAGCAAACTCGATCTATAGAGAAAAGGCAGAAATTAAGGCTGATTATGCTGAATTCACATGGATTCAGACAGTAGATGGACAGCACCTCTCATAATGGGGATGTTGTATCGTTTACAAAATATATTGAATAAAATTATTTTGTGTATATTTTATGTAATTTTAATAATTGTTAGCACCTTGTTGTCCATGTTTTCTTTTTTTTGAGGGGGAGCTATGTAGCATCTGGTTTTAAATTCCGTCGCAGAGGACGGCAATGGCGTCTTCTGTTACTGTTGCTGTTACTTACATGAAATCCAGTTTGCTGTCTACCGCCTGCCCACATCCTTGTGACTGCAGCATAACATTATCATTATACAGAGTTAATGATTACATTGTGGGTTTTCTTTAGAAACACCCAGTATGCTAGAGAAAAGAACCCTTTAACATGGGGAAATGAGACATAACAGTGTAGCTTTAAAAAAAACCCCACTGCCGGTATAAAGTTGGGTCATGTCTGGATTTTGTAAAATAGGAAATAAACCTTTTATGGCTACTTCGACAGAACTGAAGTTGTGGTTACTGTCACGCCATTTTCCTTCCTTTCACCCTCTTTCCATGCTTTCTTTTTGTGTCCAGCGGGTCCTTGCTACCCTCCCAACCCGATGCCTTACAGTCAGGCTGCGTACAGCCCCGGCCAGCCAGCATACCCTCTGCAGCCTCCTGTCCAGCCGCAGCCAGGCGTTCCACCCGCACACCCAGACTACCTAGCCCAGCCAGCATACAACCCGGATTTTGTTGCACCACCACCCAAAACTGGATAATAGACCACAGTACCACACACTCAGCCACTTTATATGTGCTGCAACATTTTCAAACTTGGCAGAACTGGAAATGTGTTATCTGAATCAAGATGTTGATTGTTTCTGAGTGTCTTGATTTGTGTATTTTGGCGGTTACAAATTGAAAAAATTATGACACATTTGTAGTTGTTACAATGCATCTGAACTGTTGAAGAATTGCCAAGTAAAAATACCTCTTGGCTTGTATTGCATGGACTTCAATATACAATATTTTTAATATATATATTTCTTAGTGACTCCATCTTAGTCATCTTGGTAAATTACACACAAAACTACTCAGTCTTTGACATGTTTCCAGCCTTCTTAACCCTGCCTCAAAACCTCTCTCTTAGTCCCTGTCTGTACTACGCACAGACTGAACCTTTGGTGGCCTCTTAAGTCACCATCTACAGTGGTTGTAGTCACACTCTTTGGATGAGTTTTGGTGGCCATAATTGCTTTCAGACCAATTAGGTGCTTTATAACCCTTTTTTTCATGTACTTTGTCACGTTCCTTTGCTGGCCGTTGGGGTATTTTGGAAGGCAGGTAATGTTTTATATATGTTACTTGAACAAAATCAAGTCCAGAATGTGTAATATTTATCATGAAAGGATTTCTGATTTCTGATGAAAAACATATGTCATTGTCAGTGAAAAAGCCTCCAACAAAAGGGAACGTTTATCATGTCACTTTTACCAAATAAGCCTTTCATGCAGGAAAAGTTTGCTTAACCTTTAAGTTTTATGTGTCTGTGCACAAGGGAGATTTCTTCTTTTACTCAGGTTGTTTTCATTCATTGTTTTCATTTGCCCATCTAGCAGTACGTGTAACTGAGCTGAAATGCATCGGCAGCTTGAATGAATGAAATAACCAAAGGATTTTTTTTTCTTCAAACAATTAAACATTTACAAACAAATACAAATTTATAATAAAATGCAAGAAACAACTGTGCCTTCTTAGCCATTTACTTTTATCAAACTTAAGTGTGCATGTCATTTACAGCTGTTTCAGATCTCTTTCTAGTTATACATGAGAGTTTGATTTGCTTGTTTCACATAGTGTTGTGTTACTTGTATTTAAATGTCATCATAAAGACTTACATTCACGTCAGCCAGCTATATTATTCTACAGCATTGTTGCCATCAATCTATGTAGCCTTCAAACTTTAGTCCCTTTGGTTACAAGCCAAACTCTGTATGTTTTGAATCTTTAAAGGTCATTTTCTTATTCAGTATTTGCCTTGTCAAATCTTGTGTTTTTCTTTTCTAGTATTTGTCGATACTATTGCCTTTTATTCGATTGCAGCAGTCACGTTTAAATAAGAATATTGTTGTTTTTTTTAAATCTAAAAACTAAACTTAATACACTTTCTTTGCTCGCATTTGTCACTTGTGTTTTATTGCAACAAAGACATCACTTCTGCTTTTTGAAATTACGTGACAATAGTACTTGCTACCGTGACCTTTTACTTAAAATCCAACTGAATATGGAGAGGTGCAGTCACAAGTCATGCCAGATATTGATTTTTTGAGGAACCCAGACTTTCAGCTTCCTTTGTTTAGGCGTTGGTTGTGGTCAAAGAACGTTGTACCTAATGTCTGATTATGTCAGTGTGGCTGGTACACGTTTCAGAATGACTTTCAGTCACATCTATGCTGTGACTTATTTTATTTTACCAGCTGACATGAGAGAAACACATGCCAGCTAATGAAAGGGGCCTGCTGTCCTCACACTTAATAATTTGGAAAAGAGGTAATTTGTGAGGAATGTGCATGTTTCTTACATCGACCAAGCAATTTGTCTCTGTACCTAATTGCACACTTGCCATTTGTCTGAAATCTGTCAATGTGTTCTGCCTGTGATTTTAGTCTTTGGGCCAGTGTTGATTCCTCAAGGTGACTCTAGTTGGAGTGTTTTTATTTGTGTGTGTGGATTATAGCCATTTGTGTCTGTTATGAAAGATATACCAGCAGAGATTTATTCTTGTTTCATCTGTTATTCTCGTCCAAGAATAATTGTCATTGATGCTACTTTGAGAATATATGTACATTACTTTTATTGTGTTAAAAACCCGACACTTATTCTGCAGAGAGTTCAATAAAGTATATATTTCATGTTTTTCCCCAACCTTTGTTATTGAATTTTCAGAATACAACCTGATAACTCAAAGTGAACTTCTGTAAAGTCTATACTAGACAACTCAGTAGCAAAATAGATAACACAAAAAAACATTATTAAATTACTAAAAAAGTAAATCCATAACAAAATTAGGAAGCAGAACATTTATCAATAGTGAGATGTGTCCAACCAGGATAAAAGCACAAGGGCTCCTACTGTCAGTGGTAACAAGACATTAAAAGAACATGGGGGTCTAGTGGAAAGTATTTGACATATCGCATTTGTCAAATTGATTAAATTTATCTCAGAGTGGCTTTAAATTCCCTAAAATATACAACACCTTCTATCTTTAGGCCCTCTATTCAGATAAGAAGACTGATCAGCCATGCTAGAAGCTCTGTGAGCCTGTTTGTGGATGCTTTGACCTACGTGCTAACATCAGTATGCTAACATGCTCACAACAACAATTGTTAACATGTGGAAGTTCAGCTGGTATAATGTTTACCACGCCCACCATCTTAGTGAATGATTAAGTGTATTAAAGTCGTGTTGGACAAGGGATCACCAGAGTTCCTACAATTCATCCTGAGGGGAACGGGAAAGTCTTTACCAAGTTTTATGAGATGATACTTAAGTCTGGATTAGCTAAAATGAAGAACTGCCTGAACAAAAACAGAATACTCCAATATTATTTAAAATTTTCACAAACAGTAATGAGCTAACTCTTATTGTGGAACATATATTGTGGAACTGAGGCAGAACAGAAGCAGAGGTTAGTAAAGTGGATTAGTAGTTTGGCTTTTTAGGCCTTCTAGTCCATATTGACGTTCCACTAAACTGTTTTACATTAAAGCAGCAACAAGGAACCTTTGTTGTTGTTGTTGTTGTTGTTGTTGTTGTTGCTGGTGCCCCCTGTGGACAAAAGCAACAATGTTTCCACCCCCTTGTTTCATTGATTTCAAGGGGGAATCCGACCTGGTGGCAGGAATTAAGAATAACTATAGAAATAGTCAATCTTCTTACTTATGGTCTTGTTTGTTTATGTAGGTCATACAGAGGCATCAGTATTCAGTTGAGACTGTTTGATGACCAGTTAAAAACTTCTTGTTGTAGCTTTAAGTAAAAGGAGCTGGTGGGAAAATTATTTCCCCATTTATTATTGTCATATTAGTGTCGAAGTTCAAGAGAGAGTGGGAGGAAGCAGATAATAATGCTGGTTAAAAGCAAAGGGTGGAGTTCACTGTATTGCAACACATACAATATTGTCTAACTGATCAGGAAAAGAAACTGAAACTCTGCAATGCTAGACTTGCGTGTGTGGTCTGCTATACAAGTTGGTTTCAACTTGTCTGTATTATATTCATTGCTGTAACACAATTGTTGTGCTACTGACTTAATCTCAATTAGACTTTCATTTGGTTAAATAAAATAAAATAAAATAAAAGGCAGACATTTAAGGGGTCAGCAGCAGTGAGTTAAAACAAAACAAAAAAGTGTTTGAAAGGAGCACTTCCTGATGCAAAAATCTTCCATAAATCATCCGGTGGCCAATCTTTCACATGAAGCGAGGAATGTTGTCGGACTACTTGCTATAGGGTGGGACAAAGAGACATGTTGAAACAATTGTCTCACTGCAGAGTCAGAGACATTTCCTCATTACACTAAATCATAGCAGTTATGGTTTCAAGCGTCTTGTCCTGTCTTGTGTGTGTGTTGTGTGTGATCGTCCTCCCGGCTGTATGGGGTGAGTTTCATTGTGGTGTTTTTTTCCCCCATGTTTAAGATCTTTAGGACTTTCTCAGTGATATGCTGACAGCTTTGACATTTTGCATCTAAATGTATGTTTAACCTACTACTTAAAAGAGACAACTGTAATTGTAGTTCAGCTATTAATGTTATCAGTTCACCCTCACTACCATGACCCTGTATTTTATATGTTACAGCTGATTACTGTAGCAGCTATTGGGACACGGATGGTCAATATCATGATGATCAGCAATGTTCTCAGTACTGCTGTGGAAACTGCAACCAAAAATACTGCTGCAATGAAAATAAATACAGGCTAACTCAAGGAAAACAAGATCGCTGTTCTGGAAGGTGTGCTTCACTCTCTATGATACAAAGATTGAGACACGTACAGGATGCAAGATAATATCAGCATTTTAAATAGTTTTAATCATTATAATTCCTTAAATTGCCTTTTCTGTGTCTTTTTACCCAGGCCTAGCTATGCTAAAAATCATATTCCCATGCTTCTCGGAAGCATCTTGGGGACTATTTTTCCCATCATCTTCTGTGTGAGTCTCATCGTCTGCTGTGTGGCTCCTTGCTGCTTGTGCTACAAGAAGTGTCGAAAAGGACAGAGGCCCCAAAGTAGGAGACATGTTTGGTTTCAGTTTACTTTGTGCAGGAAACTGCAGTCTTTTTTTATGTGCTGTATGTGCAAGCGATTACACATACAGTTAAAGGAAAAGCTCAGCCTTTTGAAAATATGCTTATTTGCTTTCCTGTCGAGAGTTAAATTTTGAAGATTAATACCACTCTTATAAGCTAAGCAGGAGCCCGCTAACTTAGCTTAGCACAAATACTGAAAACAAGGGGAAACAGCTAGCCTGGCTCTGTCCATATGAAACAAAATCGGCCCATCAGCACCTCTAAAGCTTATAAATTAACACATTGTATCTCATTAGTTTGGATTGTACAATAATACATTTCTGTTTTATGCTGCACCAGTAACTTCTTACAGTCTCTGCTGGTTGCCTGGCGACTGGCCACGAAATAGTCTGGCACATAACTGCCCAATTAAACAGCGATTTGTTGCTTTGACAGAGCCAACAAACTCTCATCAAGAAAGTGAACTCTGTTAAGTATATCTGCCAAAATGTTGAAACTTTCCTTTAAACAAAAAACCTTGTTTTTGGATCCACCTGTCTTTGGATAGAATTTGTTTCAGTCTGCAAACAAATCACAGTAGATTATTGGCAGCTTATTTTCAAACCAAACTCAATCTCTGACTTTACCTTCAGCTGTGGCCACCATAGTCAACTTACCCCAGCAGCCAACCTCTCCCTCCGGATATCAACCGTCCTACCCAGGCTACCAGCCTGTACCTGTCCAGCCTGGATATGTAGGCCCGCCCATCCCTACAGCACCACCACCCTCATACATGGAAGCCAGTAAGTTGTCTCATACCATTTATAAATGTTAGTATTCTGCTAAGCAGTTGCTGGTACATTTTAGGCTAATTCAACTGCCTCTGCCCCACTTTTGTTTTATATAGAACAATGGAATAACGTATGCTGCATGCTGGTGCTACCAAGTCTTGTTATCAAGCATATTGTTTTACATGCAAAACAATAAATGTGTTACTCTGATTTAACTATTCTACTAAACAGTGGCTGATACATTATACATTACATGAACTAATTCAACCTAGGAGGAATATACAGGTGTAACAGGCTTGGTTGATGTCAACCAGTTGTTCAAGCTAGTCCACCTGTCCAAAGAAGAGGATTCAGTTTGTTCTGTGATTTAGAATATATTTAAAGGGTTACGGTCTGATTTGCATTAACAAATCAGTGTTGTTAGCATTTACTGATAGCAACAATAATTCTTAAAGAAAAAGTCTGCTGATATCCAGTATTTTTTATTGTCAACACATATTGTGTATACCTAAAGCCTGATATATCTTAATCCTCTGTGCTGTAGAACCACAATGATGTCCAAAACCAATAAAGCTGTGAAGTTGGACAAGTTATTTCCCCCACATTTTTTCCATTGACAGTTTTACATGATTCAGAGTTTGAGCACTTCAGCAGCTCAGATTGTCATTAAACTCTCTTGATTAAGTGATCAGTGAATAAGATTAACAACTGCATTAGGAAATATCTGCATGATGGACGAAAGATTACAGTGTTTTCAGTTCACTTTTCATTTCGGGGTCAATTTTGGGTGAACTCAGCTACTGTGTTGCTACATTTTGTTTTGCGCCTCTTATCCATAGCAACAGTGACCAAAGCTCATAGGTATTGTAGTATTTAGACCAGTCCGGCATGCCAAATTGATTTCTTAGAGTGAATGAAAATAATCCCATGAAAAGAGTAATTATTAAAAACAAAATTATAAAAGAAAAAACCCAACAATGAATTCATCATATTAACAAGTATTGTCTGCTTGTTCCTGTGTCATTGTTTGCCAAAAATGATTAAAAACAATGAGCCATACCTTTGCATTTGGTGACATATTCCTTATCAACATGAACATGAGCGCTGTAGAGTTAATCTCACATACATCCTGCTGTTTCAAATACTCACTAGAGCACCAAATGTGTATTAATCCACATTTTAAAATAGTCCACAACAAATTCGCTATTTACCCCTGATATAGTAATGTTTGCTAAGAACTACAGTGCCCAGGTATTTTAGGAATGTATTCAAAATCAAAAGATAAACACCAGTATTATCTTTTCATGATTATTGTTACAGGCCAACATCTTGGTTAGAAAAAAATTTATAATTTAGAAAGCAACATAATTTTTCAGTAACAAACCAAATATTTGTTTTTGTCTTTTTAGCCGATCCTGCTTACCCTCCAGCATTCAGTCAAGGGCAGCTGATGTACCCCTACTCCAACCAGCTTTATGGACCGCCACCGAATATACATGAACTTGACCAGCTGCCTTACAACCCCTCTTATTGCCCAAACCCTTAAACCGAATACCTTGTAGTAGATGGTAGATAGTAAAATGTTTGGTGTTGATACACTGGAAACTTTTGCAGGATGTCAAATTCAAATCACAAACCTTGAGAAATCTACAGTTTCTATAGCAGTGTGTCTGGAATTTAAACTCAATGCTGCTGCTGCTTTTTATGGGTTAGCTTCAGTAATGACCATTCATTTAGCACTGTCCAATTTTAAAATATGTCCAATTTTAAATGAAAGTGTTGAATGTTAAAAATGTATGTATGGAGAAAATAGAAGTAACACACATCTCACATGATAAGAGAAATAATGATATGATGGACACGACAGTTAAGGTGTAACTTTTCTGTATCTGTTAAGAATTCTGATTCATTCACATCATCTCAACACATACTTTAATTGTTGTGCTCAGTCTTGGTTTATTCTTGAACAATTGAGGAGTTTTAGGGTTTCCGTCCACCTTGAAAGAGCCAGATTTGAAGATTTGAAGATTTGAAATTATGCTGACACATGTTTTGTTACTAAACTACCACTAGAGGTCGCCACCTTTGTTTTGTATAGAAAGGGAAATGGTAGAACACTGTATGCTTCATGCTGGTGCTACTGAGACTTGTTATCAAGCATATTGTTTTACATGGAAGACAATAAATGTGTGACTGTTTTGTCTCATTGTAATAAAGCAGAGATCAAAGATTTAAATAACAGATATTTTAATCTCTTGATGTACAGAATACATGGTTGGTTTTTCTGTTATTAGGGAGGATTGACGATGTGGATAAACCATATAATCTCTGTTACCTTTAATAGAACTGGAATTCCTCATAAACTACAGAGTACTTGAGTGAATGTATAGTACAACAGTACTGAAGTAAGCCACATGGGTCTGTTAACACTAACACTCAGTGTTGTATCACCTACAAGTGTAATTCTTTTGCTTTTTCAATCCAAGATAGTACATTTAGTCTGGTTCAGGGACACTAAACTTACTTTTCATCCTGTCATATATTCTGAGCCCAACTGAGCTTTGCTGGTAGTTTAAGAAACTGGTGCAGTGAACATAATATGATGTTGAAAATGCCTATGGTGATGGATGGTAACTTGTTTATGTTAATTTTGTAATGTTTTGTTTGTTTATGGAATAACTGTAGTATTACTTAGTTTCTTTGTTAACGCCCCTGAACCATTATGAACTTGATCAACATCTCCTTGACTCCCCTTGATTTGTGTCAGCTTCAAATACAGTTATATAATCTTATTCTTATTAAAGAGAAACCCATTTTTCTTCTGTTGACTCATCCACTGGGTGAGAATATACAGAGGTACAAACATTTTGACTATCATCAATCTGACGTCACATGTAAAGGGACACACCAGGTCGATTATCTGGAGTTTGTCTAATTTTTTATAACTCAAAATATTTGACAATGTTAGGTTTCATCAGACTGTGAGTCAGCAATATACCCTTTTCACTGCAGCCATTTTGACATGGAATAGTTGGGTAAACACAAGTGTTCTTGTTTGTATCAGAGCCTTTCCAGTGAGCCAACATGCACGATAGCAAAACCCTGACTATGTTTGACCCGAATTGAACAGAGTTTGTGTCATTGCTAATAACTGTTTACCCTACTATTTCATATCAAGATGGCTGCTGTGAAAAAGGTCCATTCAGAAAAGCTTCCAAACCCATCAAACAACATCAGCTGTCTCTCTTCCCCAGTGAAAGTAACAGAATTTGGCAACTCCGAAATGTAAAGTGTCACACCAAATGACTGCAGGTTTGAACTTGTTGTTGGTCTTTTTGCTCTCTCGAGTGAGGAGTTATTTGTTGCTGCATTATGGGCTTTTTTTATGTGATGATGATGATTGCATGAGGAGTTTTCCGAGCACAACACCCTTTGGAGTTTGTGTCACCTATTCTCAACACTAGGCCTTTTGTCCAACAATGCATCAAAGTAATGGAGAGATTTACTAGCCTGCTTTTCAGACCCTCTTACAATGAAATCAGTGATATAAAATCCATAATGTTGGAACTAAATGTTATTACCTACAGTGGGAAAAACCACTGTGCTCAGTTTAGCCTCTTCCTGTGGGATCATCTGCAGTTAAATAGTCAGAGTGGGTGTGCTTGCATTTAATCCCGTAATAACCAGCACCACTCCCTCTTATAGCATCCCGCACGATCCATGAATCAATACAGTAATAGTGCTGACTGCGGCTATCTCAGTCATTGAAGTGACGGGGGGCTATAAGAGGAAAAATGACCCTGCGTGTATGTACTGCTCCCTGCTTGCTGTCTAAAATAAGATCTCTCCTTGAAGTGTGGTTCAGACTGCTAATGAGCTCTTGTGTAGGGATGCCAGAGTCATGGAAGATGTGACAGATAATCTTTGCAGCCAGCCAACACTACTGTTCTCTTCCTCTCCATCCCTTTCTTCTTCTCTTTTCTGTTTCTTCCATCCGTCCCTCTGACTGTGCTTTGTTCTATTTGAAGACATTCTTGCCTGGCCTCCTGCCCGAGCTGCCATTACGATGTTTTCAGCATTTTCTCGACATCCCACACCATTCCTTTCTTTCTCCTTTTCTTCTGCTCTGTGGAATCCCTCTGGTATTTATTTCTCAAATCCGAGCTGCACATGGCGAACAGACAGGGGTCACACTATGTTATTGGATATCAGAAATCAACCTTGTGATCTGGTTTTCGTTAATCATTCAGGAGTGAGTGTGTGGGAGCAACTGCTGACAGAGGCACAAACTCTGGCAAATCTGGCAAAGATGCTCCTAAGAGATACAAACATGCTGAACTTTCCCACATTCTTGGAAACACAAACAGACTTGACAGCATTATTTATGTGTTGTTATTTTTAAATCTGTTCCATCACTAAGGATAAGTGATAAAAAGTTTCCAACATCATTCATATTTTGATATTTCTACACACTCAAGATATGTGTTTTTACAGTATTAACCATAACTAGCTGGATGGATTGCCATAAAATTTACAGACATTCGTTCACTCGTCAGGTAGTGCCATCATTAAGTCACATTTTTTTATTTGTCCAGAAAATACCTAAATTTCCATCAGCCTCAGATGTGTTTGTGTTTTGTGCTAATTAGCAAATGTTAGCATGCTGAACTGAGATGGTGAACATTGAAGCCACCTGCTTAACCTCAGCATGTTAGAATTGTCACTGTGCACATGCTGACTTTAGTATTTTGCTCAAATCATCAGAGATTTCGGTTATTTAGCTTACCCTCATTGATATAGATGGGGTGGACAAAATAATAGAAACATATTAATCTTACTGTGGTATTAATCTTCTTCTTTAATACCACATTGGGGCAGCAGGGGGCTGAGAGAGTTTTTTTTTGACACCAGAAGCAGGTTCATGTTGCCAGACAGTTCACACAAGAGGAATTCAGCCTCATCCCCTAGTAACCTGTATGTGTGTGTGTGTGTGTGTGTGTGTGTGTGTGTGTGTGTGTGTGTGTGTGTGTGTGTGTGTGTGTAAACATTGATGATGGTGCCCAGAGAGATGAATCTTAGGTAAGTTTGAATCCTCCTTAATGTGAAAAGTTTTGCCTCTTTGTCAACGCTCAAAACTAAATTCCCACACCAACCAAGTCCACCACATCCACTGGAGGCTCTTTGCAAGAAAACAAACCATCTGAATTTCAGGATATAATTAATAATTACAGTAACATATTTAATGCAGAGTTCAAGGTTTATGAAGACTTTCTGTATATATTCATTTTGCACTTTTAAATGCAAGAAAAGGTTCAACACCTGATTGGAAATATGAATATATATATATATATATATATATATATATATATATATATATAAAGTCCTTCCTCAATATCAAGAATTTCCTATTCTCGTGTCACTGGTGTGCAACTGTTGTGTGTGAGGTTTATTGTGTGGAACAGTTGAGGTGACACACTGACAGCTGCACACAGATTGACTCAAGAGAAACAGAAATCAGCTGGTTAAAACAACAGCTGTGGGTGAGAGGCCATTACTGAGGTAGGCATTGTGTTGTTTGTCTGAGCAACTTGTAGGAAAATCATTGGTGTAAAGCACTTATAATTCACGTAACAATTAATATGCTTCGTTGGAGTAATGCAATTTTCCTTTGTGAACATTGCTCTGTAGCGGCCTATACATTCCTCCCACTCTCTCTTTCCAGAAGAGCTAAAGGTCTGTAATAAAGTTTCCTGGGTCACTGTGCACATTTCGGCCCCTTTTGTCTCCCAGATTCATTCCAGATCGCTGCCACCAGAAGTCAGACATCAGGGCTTTCAAGCTCATGGTAAAAAAAACCCTTTAGACTTTTCATCTGTCTGTCTTTTTAAATCTCAAGATTGTACCTCAGTTTTTTCCCTTTTATGTTCCTTGGATCTACAAGCACCTGCACCAACGAGTAGCCACAGAAAAAGGCAGTTTGGACCGTGTGAACTCAACAGATAAAACAGTCTAATGTCTTTTCACCCTCTCTCTCTCTATTCAATAGCCTCCAAGTATCTTGACAACCTTGCCTGGTATTTTGGCAGCAGTCCCTTGAGTGTTGATGTCAGCTGAGAGAGGGGAGGCAGGGTGGTGGAGGGACTGAAAGGGAGAGAGGGGAGGGGGGAGGAGTGAGCGGGCTATTCAAGGCACTTGTCCTCTGTCTCCCTCAGAGCTTAGAGGAGGGGGGAGGCGCACATGCATTGAGAGAAACACACTTACACACACACACATATACTCGTAGCGGCCACATTTTCACAGCCTGCTCTTCAGACTGACAGCAGCAAACGGAGTTGAGAGCCAGCACGACAGAGCGAGGGAGGAAGAAGACTGGAAACAAGGGAGGCATCCACAGAGGAGAGGACAGGAGAGGAGACTACACAGGATTTGCCCCATTTTTTCTCTTTTAGCTCTCTGGGAGCCATAAAAGGAATCTGCCTTGTACTCTTCTTGAACTGAACTTGCTCTGCACCTTGCTATGGCAGCCCTGGTGGGACATGGGAACAGTGTCTCCCTCTCACCTTGTTCCTCTCATCCTTGGACTACCCTCCTCTGGGCTCTGTTGTCCCTTTCAAGCCAAGTGTGGGGTTTTAACCTGGATACTACTCACACACTGCATAAGTTGGGGGACCATGGGACCTTTTTTGGTTTCTCTCTAGCACTTCACCAACAGCTTACCCCAGAGCCTCAGAGCTGGTGAGTGGGTGAATGCAGCACTGAGCTCATGCCCTGTGTGTCCTGTGTGTTTTTGACTTGTTGTTGCATCTTACATATTCAGTTTCATTGTGTTTTATCTTGTATCTGCCCCTGCTCCTCGTGCAAAACGTTCCCTGTACCATGATCTTTCATTTTTAGGACATTTAAAAGCTGAAATTGTGAGTAAAAGCTGAGTTGTGTGGCTACAGTCAGCATTTCTGTGCTGCACCCGTCCTTGGATTTGCTAAATCATTGCACTGAAGTGAGTGCAGGAGTTTTAGCATGTACAGCATGAGCAGCCTGAACTCTGAGTTAATAGACGATGATTTACGGTAAGTGTAGAGTGGATGAGAGTAGGCTTGCTGAATCAGCTGCCAGGCAGTGATTTCTGAGGAAGGAGAAAAAGGTTTTTAAGTGATTTTTTTCCAAAGCAGTTTAGATCTGATGCTGACTTCAAACTAGGGGAGTGGACTAATATGTCCTATAGTGTGTAGGGCTGTGTGT